TCTATCTCTCTATCTATCTATCTATCTACCTATCTATCTACCTATCTATCTACCTATCTATCTACCTATCTATCTACCTATCTCTATCTCTATCTCTATCTCTATCTCTATCTATCTATCTCAATCTATTTATCACTATCTATCTATCTATCTATATCTATCTATATCTATCTACCTATCTACCTATCTATCTACCTATCTATCTACCTATCTATCTACCTATCTATCTACCTATCTATCTACCTATCTCTATCTCTATCTCTATCTCTATCTCTATCTCTATCTCTATCTATCTATCTCAATCTATTTATCACTATCTATCTATCTATCTATATCTATCTATATCTATCTATCTCCTATCTATTTCTCTATCTATCTATCTATCTATCTATCTATCTATCTATCTCTCTCTCTATCTCTTTATCTAATTCTCTATCTATCTTTATCTATCTATTTCTATCTATCTCTATCTATCTCTCTATCTATCTCCTATCTATCTCCTATCTATCTCCTATCTATCTCCTATCTATCTCCTATCTATCTCTATCTATCTATCTAATCTAATCTAATCTAATCTATTCTATTCTATCTATCTATCTATCTATCTATCTATATCTATCTATCTCCTATCTATTTCTCTATCTATCTATCTATCTATCTATCTCTCTCTCTATCTCTTTATCTAATTCTCTATCTATCTTTATCTATCTATTTCTATCTATCTCTATCTATCTCTCTATCTATCTCCTATCTATCTCCTATCTATCTCCTATCTATCTCCTATCTATCTCCTATCTATCTCTATCTATCTATCTAATCTAATCTAATCTAATCTATTCTATTCTATCTATCTATCTATCTATCTATCTATCTATCTATCTATCTATCTATCTATCTATCTATCTATCTATCTATCTATCTATCTATGCATCTATGCATCTATGCATCTATGCATCTATGCATCTATGCATCTATGCAATCTATCGTTCTATCGTTCTATCGTTCTATCGTTCTATCGTTCTATCGTTCTATCGTTCTATCTATCTATCTATCTATCTATCTATCTATCTATCTATCTATCTATCTATCTATCTATCTATCTATCTATCTATCTATCTATCTATGCATCTATGCATCTATCGATCTATCTATGCATCTATGCATCTATCGTTCTATCTATCTATCTATCTGTCTGTCTGTCTGTCTATCTTTCTCTCTTTCTATCTTTCTATTTATGTATTCTAAGTTTTTCCAATTTTGGATCAATTTGGTACATCCCAACAGCTCTCTCATGTTGTCGCAGCTGTTTTTCCCAATTGTAAATTTTGGTGTACTTAAACACCCTTAAAAATCAATCAAAAAACAATCCGACAAGCATCAACTTCCAACCAATTTCTCCAGGTGATGAGTGCCACTGACCTGCAGCTGAAGCGCAGGATGGCGAAGCTTGAGGCTTGTGTGTTGTGAAGTAGTTGCTAGTGGCGCTGGCTGGTGCCCGCAGCAGGATGGCACCGAAGTCTTCTACCAATGCATCAGGCCCAAGAACAAGGCGAGCAACGGATCCAAGGATCCACCGCGTTTTGAAGATGCGGCTTGGGCCAATTGGGGGGATGGCGGGAAGCATCGGGAAACCAAATGGCAGGCAGTGACGCATGTTTGCATCTTCCTACACGGTGCCTTGGCAAATCCCTGGGTCATCTGGTTGCCAACATTTGCCGGGCATGGTGCCATGGTGCTTGTTTTTTTCCAAAGAGGGCAGTGGAATTGCACCAAGTTAAAGATGTTAAAGTGTTGAAAAATGAGGAGACATGAGGTTCCTGCTGAAAGTCAAGCCTCTCTTGCTCTTGAGCGGGAACCATTATCCCAGGATAAACATACACCACCGGCCTTGGCAGATCCCTTTGCTCCCCCACAAACTATTGGTATATATATATATATATCTATCATTATCTAATTTATCTATCATATTTCTGTCATATCGTTTGGAATCACTTGGGCCCCCCAGAAATATCCATTTCGGACATCCATAGTGGTCACCTATGGTCACCTGAGGTTATATGGCCAGCAGCGACCTGTTCTTGCACTTCCTTGCCGAATTGGCTCGATGCGGGGCCCTGGTGCTGTGTCCCGATTTGCCGGGGCATGGCAGATCTGACGGTGAGTTGACCTATGTACCAGACTGGTGGGTGCGCCATGGCATCATGGGACAGCTGCGGGTCAAGGGGTCAGGGCTGAAATGGATAATTCAGATTTGAAGAGTAAGCCATAGCGGCATAGCGCAGGCCCCAGCATGCCGATTGGAAGATAAAGCGAGCTTTCCTGCTTATGTTGACTCTGCAAGTGCCTTGTGTGCCAGTGTTGTCAGGGTTGCCAGCATTGAGATTCGCAGGCTTGGGTCGACACTATTTGGGAAGCCATTGACTTCATGGTTAAGGAGGTGCGCAAACGACTGAATTTTACTATCACATCTAGGCACGCAGCTCAAATCTAGACACAACGCTTTTTCCAGCCTGGTAGCCCTGGCAAGTGTACAATCTTCTCATAGATCCCAAACATGTGAGGAATCGCATGCATACATCAGTCATTACACAGCATGGATTTCCCATGATTGCGCTATGGCCGTGTTTGATGTTGTGTAGGCCCTACATAGGCACAATCCCAAGACCAGACCTTGTCTTTGGGCCCTGCAATTTTTGTTGCAGGAGGTCTCGGGAGAGCTCCCAATCTTTGTCTCCGGTGGCTCCTTGGGCGGTGGACTGTCGGTCTGCTTGTGCTTACAACGGCCCACTTTTTTCCGAGGCGACAGAGCAGCTTCCAAGAGTGCTGATGTCATGATTCTGTATACACACCGCATATACATATACACACGCACATAATATCTATCTATCTATCTATCTATCTATCTACCATTATCTGCCCTATAATGGCACAATCTGTATAACTTTGAAAGTATACAGGATTCCTTCCAATTTTCGAGGGCTGTCCTCAGCCTGGTCTTTTAGCCATTTCAGTCAGGACATGTCAGAACCAGAAATTGTGTCCACCAAAGCAGCGCGTAAGTAGCAACATAAATGATATTAAATTATCATAAAAGACAATAATGTAGAACTGGCACGAAAGGCTGGATGGAATCTGCACAGAATCCATGATTTTTCATTTGCAGGTGCCGTGCTGATGTGCCCCATGCTCACCGTTAGTGACGAAGTGAAGCCTCCTTGGATCGTTCAGCAATTCTTCAAACACGTTGTTGCACCACTGATGCCCTCCTGGCCAATCACACCTAGCGTAGAGACCTGGCAGCAACATGTGGAGAACTGTGGAGAATGTCCGTGCTTGTGCTGCTCATGTGCTTGGGTGTGCTTGGATGCCTCAGCATGGCGCATTTCCGATCTTTTCCGTTTGATTTGGGTTGCTACTATAGTTTACTAGTAGAAAGCATCAACATTCAACATCTCAAAGCAAATGATTCATATCATGATCGATGTGCATCAATTACACACACATATAATCACATATATATATATATATATAATATGATAACATAATTAGTTTAGAGTAGTTTAGTTCAGTGGCTTTAGTTCTTTCTGAGTTTCTTATGCTCCCTTGTCCTCGAGGAAAACCATGGCTCACCCGGCTATCCGCTCAGGAGGTGACGACCTTGGACTTTCGCATCCCGGAACATGGAAGCCAGGTGAATGACAGGAACCCTCTGTCCATGACACTTGGTTACGACATGTTACGACATGATGCGACCTGCGTGGGAACAGATGGGGAAATTGTTGGAACTCTGGTGAGACAAAAATTGTTTGCTTCATGTTTTAATGATGTTTTGATTATGTTTGATTATATATATGCGATTTATTTGCACTGTAAATATTGATTAGCATGTTGCTTAGTTTCAGATTCAGAAACGTACCATCCGAACTTCAATCATATCGCAATCCCCTCGGGCTTGCTGGGGGGTGGGGGTTCGCTTGATTCATTTCGCAAGTTCCAATTTTTCTGCTTGGGATTTGATGTCAAAGTGGTTCTTAGCTTAGGCAAGGCTTAAAGCCGAGGCTGGGCACAGGCACGGAGGGATACTTTGGGAAACTTCTCGAATTTTTAGGTTGCAGGAGAAAGACATTTTGACAACCTAGACTTGTAGCAGCACTTTTGCAGTTTTTCTCATCCGGGTTTCCCGGAGCATTTCCTTGGCCAAGTTGTTGAACCCCAGCTTAGTTCGGCCGGAGGCCGCGAGTTTGGCTTCACCTATCCAGATTGGTTGGATGGCCACATGTCCGAGATGCAGACCCCCTTCATCATCCTTCATGGCAAAGCGGATAAGGTGACGGACCCAGCAACATCACAGAAGCTTTATGAGGAGGCAGTTGCAAAGGACAAGGCCTTGAAGCCTCTTGGCGAAGATCATGAAAGGTGCGAAGAAATGCCATGTTGTATCCAACGGAGATAGATTGACATGAAGGATATTGAATCCACATTTCTTTGTGTGTTGTCTTCTCAACTACTGCTTGTCATCCGTTCATTTCCTTTCAGATGGATTTGATTGATATCATTCCGTATGGTCTTCCTGCAAAGTTGCGAACTATAATAATCATTCGTTATTTGCTTTTCCTTATTTTTTGCGAGCAGAACATTTGAGAAGCCTTCCATGTGCAAAACGCAATGCATGAACGAATGCATGAACGTGTCTGAACAAGAATACTCAGACATCCGCCCGCTCCAATATCAAGATTCCACTACCCCTAAATTCCAAAGACCTTCCTAAGGGAGGTCTTTCGGCAAAGACCATGTTAGTAGCAAAAGAATATCAAAGACATCAAAAGACTTCAAAATGTATCTTGAGCATACGCCTGTAAACGAAAATTGACTGTACCATTGGAGTGCAAACTGGCAGTCGGTGCACCAACATGCAATAATCTGATTCCCCAGTATCTGCCAGGGACCCCTCGGACTCCAGCACTACCAACTTAAAAAGGAAGCATGAATCAGAATGAACATAAATACCTATTTCATCCTATTTCCAAGTTTCAAGGTTTGGCCAAAAAAAAGGTTGGAAGCACGAATCCTGCACATTTTGTTTAAGAACTTTTGGAGACTTTTGGTAGAAATGCGGAGCACACAAGAAATTCCGGCTTTTGGGTATTTGACCTCCCAGTCCACATTTTCAGGCACAGAAAACCGGGATGCAGAGGAAAATCATTGCAAATCTGTGTTTCAATCCCTGAGTCACTATAGTGGATCTTAATGATGTGTTGGAGTCCAAATGCAGCAGTTTCCTTTTTGTGTCTTTGGTTTCCGATTTTGGTCTTTCGTTCAGGGCCGACAAACGACACTCCTTTGGAGGCACTTAGACTCACAGGGACTATGTTTTTTTATACCTGTTTTTATACATGTTTTGATGTGTTTTCGGATTTTTCGGGTCGCAGCACCAGGTTGTATGATGGTGTGTACCACGCCGAGCTCTTCTGTTGCATGCCGGGCTCTTTTGAAGGAATCGAATGGACCAATGAGGAGATGGCTGCCACCCGCAGCTGCTTGGAAGATGCTGCAGCCTGGATGAAGCAAAGGTGCGGCTGAGGATGCAGTTTTCCCCATGAAAACAGCCAAGGTGAGGTAATGGGCGGCCCAACCTTGCCCACAGTCTTGGAATGTGATTTTTACAGTTGTTTTTTCCTGCTCATATTGTCAGATGGCTGGTATCATCAACGCTCATTGTGGCTGGTAGGGTTTTGAATCAGAGGATGGGTGCTTTAACGCAGTCCCGACTTGAACAGAACGGGAGGAAGTTTGATGACCAGCATGCTGACCTGTCAGAAGCTGCAAAGTAGCTGCTTGATCTCAAATTCTTTGCATGAGGGACCTTCATTCTGTTTGATATTTTTGGCTTCTTATCTGGGATGACAAACACCTTCAATTCAATTGACGATTTGACTATTTTTCTTGTTTGGAATGAGTTGAAACGAACAGCCTATTGCAACCTGAAGACAGTTGCTTGTGCTTCTTGCGGGTCACAACTCCTTGAACATTTCCAACGCTTAGTCGTTGGAAGTTGTGTCGGCCACAGATAAAAAGAAGCGCAAACGTGCCTGGACCGATGAGATGTCCCATGATGTCCCCCATGATGTCCCAATTTAAGATGGAATTGCAGAAGACTTCCCAACATAATATGATATAATATTATACAAAAATATATAATATGTCCAGATAATTCTTGATACATGTATAGTATAGCATATCAGTACATAGCGCGTGTATATATACGTATATTATATATATATATATATACGTATATATATACAGTATATAGCAGTATATATATACATTAATTACATGTAGATACATTTTATACATAGGTGAACCGAAAAAGCGAGAGAGAGGGGGGAGAGAGAGGGGGGAGAGAGAGAGAGACAGAAAGAGAGAGAGAGAGGGAGCTTGCAGAGTTAAAGCCACAAACTCTCCAGTTCTCAGCTTCTTCCCTGTGAGCAGGACCTCACTGAAGCGTGCCATGGCAGAAATAAAGCTGTTGCCTCATTATATTTACACTCTTGGGTCCAGAAAATCCACATTGAACACATCCCTTAAAGCCCTTGTTGGAGTCCAATAAACTGACATCGACCAAAATGGTTCAAAAGGTATCCAACGTTCCTCCAATTTTCTACCAGGGCCCACCCAAGCCGAGGGAGCTGAATGTCGCACAGCTCACGGCCAAGTTGCAGATTGCGGATGAGGAAACGCGTGCAGGCCGAGGACCGAATGTGGAAGTTGGAGTATCAAGGGTACAGAGTTTTCCCGGGGAATGGAATGCTCTTGTTACATATTTCAGGATTTTCTCTCTACATTTTTTTTAACGCATATAGACACAAATCCAAGCCACTAGTAGTGACTACTTATTATGATTTTAAAGTACAGTATTCCAGTCCATTTTGATTAAAAGTATTGGAGCGCCATGGTTGGAGTAGACTAGATGGTCAATGACACTGAAATCATCCATGATTTATGACCTTTGTGTGGCATTGTGATAAGAGACCGGTTGTGCTGATGCGTGCAGTCTAATTATAATTTGGTTCAAACTGCTGACGGTTGGTTTAAGGCCTCACATCATGGGAAGGGCTGGTGACAGGCGGCTAAACAACCATTACCTTCTAGACTTAGATGAAAGTTGACAGGCCAGAATCTTTTCCTATCTTTTCTATTTTCAATAGTCCTAGGAGAATTAGTAACTATAAAATACTATAAATGACTCACTATGACTATAACACATATTCATACATATTCATGATTTAACTTCGGAACTCCCCCACTGGTTTTCCCTTTGCATGGCAGAGCCCCGTGGCTAATGCCATGGCCTTGGTGGCAGCTGGTGCTTGCAACCGCAGATGCTTTGTCGCTGCGATGCGCAGGCCTGGGGGCCCAACAATTTACAGATGGTGTATGTCAATGTGCACAATGGAAGTATACAGTAAACTGTGTGTGCAACCATAGATACACAATATGATGATATATGATATGGATTGATATGGTATATATATATAGTTATAATCATACATCACCAGCATTCGCAAGTTTCACGAACTGCACACGTGAGAATCATCGACAATTCCTAGTGATACCCAGCGATTATGCAAAGGTGGTCTTCCAGAGGCGGGCCTTCCTGAAGTTTTCTTTGAGCAATATGAAGAGTGGCACCGGGCCTATATGCGAGTAGCTTGGCAAAGCTGACAGAGATGTTTCTCAAGCTATGATTTTCTTGGGGTTATGCAGCTGGCCGTCCTGCAGTGATCCGGTTGATTCATGATGATGTTTTTTTTTTTCTCACACATGTTTGATATTTTTTGACCAGTTGGGTGGACTTGTTGGCTTGAACTGTGCTGCAAGGACAGCTTGGCACGATCTCGTGAATTCCTGAAACTTGGCTGCGCAGCATGTGAGCAACTCAAAGAAAGGAAACCAAAAAATACAAAACATATGGGTTGATGAAACATGATCAAACCACACATCAGGTTAAGGGAAGAGACACTTCTTCAATTCATGAAGTTGGATCAAGTTGAGTCAGGACATGCATGGTTTTGGCACCTTGAGGCATGGCATTTACGAGACCAAGCTCTGGCCCAAACTTGAGGAGCGCTGCCGCAGGTCGTAGAATATGGATGGACGCTGGATGGAGCGATCCATAGGAGGACATGAAAGGCAGATGACACACATTAATATACATTGATACTGTATACATTATACATTAATGACAATTACATCATGCTCATCACGCAGGATTTTCAAAGCTGAATTGATAGCACCTTATCTTCCAATACTTCCTATACATTTGGATACATTTGGACTATGTGCTATGTTTGAAATGCGCTGTCCAGATGATTTGGTGCCCAAAAGCACGAAACATGGAAAAGGTTGGTAGGATCATGGTAAGATCATATCGAACATTTACCGCAGAGGAACATGTTCAACGGTGTCCATTGCCGATCATTGAGATCATGATGGACTCAGTGCTTGCATCTTCCGTGGACTATTCGCTTGAGGATGGTCAAGGCCGGTGGATGCCGGTGGTCGGTGCTTCGATCCGGAGGCTAAGAGGATTCACTCAATCATTATTCAATGGTTTACTATGGTTACTATACAAGGCACCTTTGTATACCTTGGTTAGTACCTTAGTTTCTCATGTTTCAACTCATTTGGGAATGCCTTGGAGGTTGGTGATGTCGACATGACATGGGTGGGCATGCAGGACTTTATGAGCTGGCCATCCGCCTGGCCAAGCAGCATCTTTCTGAGGAGGAAGCTGAAGAGCTCCGGGAGGAATGGAATCAGGATACTGTCTACACCTATCCATTGCTGTTCGGAATGGATCAGAATGATTGCCATGGGTCAGATCTGAAGATTTATGTGACTTGGCATGACATGGCAGCATGATGTTGGATTTTTACAGGTGTGCAGGGCTGTCCAGCAACTTTGTCACTGCAAAGACATGCAGGTCTACGATGTCCCTCAAGGACTTACAGAGAACCAGTTGGACTGCGCCCTGGGCCAATGGGGCACAGAAGTTTTATTTCATCGCTACTTTCTGAGCTCCACCTGCCGAACACTGGACCCAGAAGAGGCGGATTTCCTTTTGGTGCCAGTCTACAGCACGTGCAAATTTACCAAGGACGGGGTCTGAAAATTTGTGGGATATTTTTGTTGCATGGTTTCAGCGGTTGTACCAATGACATGAGGCTGATTGAGGCTGGGATGTCGTATGGGTCATTTGCAGGAGAATTTGGAGAATGATGAAGCCGCTGCGAAAGTGATTTGGGACCCCTTACTGCAATACTTATTTTCTCAACAGTGGTTTCATCGTCGGAAGCAGATGGACCACATTTTCATTTTTGCAGATGGTCAGTCTGCGCGCGTCTGGGATTCCTATGACTTGGTCAGAAGCGAAGCCATTTTCATGATGGTCGAGTCCCCTGGCAGATTGTGCTTTTCAGATTCCCCCAACATTTGCCGACTGTTTCTCCGAAAGTTCCAGTCCTTCCCGAGCCATGGTTGGGAACACTGGGAGGCTCTGTAGATAAAAGGTTTTAATGGTAGTGGCGTTTGCACAATTCTTTCCGGACTTTGTTTTCAAGAACGGGTAACGGTGGCATCCAATTGACGGTACCTAGGCCCTGAAGTTACCCCAAAAATGCGTTTCTTCCATGAATACTCATCACTCATCATAACTCATAATAAAAATCTTGGGCACTTTGCCAAGTTTCAGGGCTATTGGTACTTGGGTCAGGTTCAACCACCATCCCAATCCCCCAAAACCGCATTTCTGGGCAGCAAATCGCCCCAGACTCAGCCTGAGGTCGAAATGTCCCACCTGGGATGAGCCTATGAGGAAATACAGTGATATCAAATCTTGCAGTAGTAGCTGGAAGGCCGGAGAAGCAGGGCGGGAGCATGGCTGGAAGATGCTGGAAGTCTATGAGCTATTTGCCTTCAACTTGTGGTCATGAAAATTAGCGGGAACATGATTTGGTTTTTGGGTAAATGGATTGTTGTTGCCTATTTTTGGACACATGCGTCTTGTCATTTGCTGTTTTTTTCCCTCAATTTTGTTCGCAGGTCATAGGTCGTGGTAGAGATTAGTCTTATATATATATAATATATATATATATAGATTGATTGAATTTGTATAGACGACAACGACGCTCACTGATGTTCATCCTTCTTGATGTCATATGCCAATTAATTGTCATTAATATGTGCCCAGCATATGCCAAACATTTTGCACCTGCACGGATTCTGAAGAAAATTCTCGAGCTTGCTTGTCAGTGCTGCTGTCAGGATATTCTCATCCCTGGGCACACGGACCATGCGCGACTCCAAGCCATGCAAAGGCAGAATCGGCCTAGCGATCAGCGAGACCTTTTGATGACTTTCCATGGAAGTCACTCTGGTAATAAGGACTTGGGAGCAGTGAGGTTCTCAACAAGTGGTTGGACGATGTTGGACGTGGATCTGGTTGGACTTGGTCTGATTTGGTTGGATGTGGCTGATGTTGGTTAGATTTGGTTAGGGTTTTCCTGTTCCCGGGTTTGGAATCAAAAATCCTGGTACTCTTTGTGCTGGTACAACATGGTACAACTGCCGTCACGGCTTTTCGTAACAGGACGTCTACGAGTCCTGTGCTGTGCGTGACCGGATTCTGCAAATGGCTGATTTCGATGGGGTGGATGTTGGCACCTTGCCATGATCAACTGATATCAACTGGGCACCCATTTCGATGCCGATTTTCAATTCATGAGGTGTTGATCCATGTTGATCCCTCCAGTTCTGTTGTGCTACCGGGTAGTGCCATCGAACCCAGGTGGCTTCATACCAAACTACTTCGAGGTGAAGGGCCGCTCTCACTTCTGCCTGATTCCTGCTGGCACATCGCCCTGGACGAACCAGCTCTACGAGTCTTGAGCAAAGCATTGGTGTATGGTGACCATTTTGCATCATTTTGCAACATGTAAACCAGCTGCAGTAAAACGAAGAACTTTGAAGCAATAGACCAGGATCAAGGAGTTGATGTTCTGCCCGAACATGTCCCGTGTCATTCAGTTGTAGTGTGCTGGGCCATTGTGGGGTCTTTCTTTCAACTAAGGAAAGCATACATTGTGGCTGTATCCCAGTAATTTTATCAGATGAGTACGAAGTGGCTTTCCAGCACATTGTCGCAGCTCGGCTGATAGGACCCCTGTGATGTATTGTCGCAAGAGGAGCATTTTGGGGTACTGGCACTGGTACTTGCCTTGTCTGAGGCTCTGCATGAACCAAGGAATGGCACCATTTCAGCCTCAAATTGCCGGAGTCGATGGTTGGCCCAGAGCTATATGCATTTTTGCAGTCAATTCCAGTGGAAGTTCTCAGAGAGATGAAGGTGGATACTGATTGCATGTTGTTTTGCAATTTACAAGCTTGTTTGGGTGGATTATGTTGTGCATGGTGCTAACTCTGTGCCAGAGTTTGACCCCCAACCAGCTCCATTCATAGGGGTCTCTTTTAGTGTCTCCAGCCGTCCAAGCTGATATCACAGGCTGAAGTGGATGCCCACAGCTGTTGGTTCAACTACTTCTCCCATGATCCTCGTTGTTCGCCCTTCGCCGCCGTCCTGGGCGCCTTGGAGGATCGCCTTGGGCGACGGCCGAGCTGGAGCCGTTTCTGGCCCCCTCTGAGGGAGACCAGCTGGAAACGCCTCACACGATTCCACTCGTTGGCCAATGACAGCTTCATGCTGGGATGACTGGAATATAGGATCATTGATGAAGATGGATGCGATGGAAATGGATGGAAATGGTGGCACCAACTTGGGGACTTGGGGAGGTCTTGATGATTTGTGGTGGAATGACTTCGAAGAAGTTTGGCTTCAGTGCTGCAGCAGAGCTTGGGCTAGGGTTAGGGTGTCCGTCGGAGTGGCGGTGCAAGATCTTGAAGTTGCAGCTATTGAAGCTATTGCAGCCGGGCCCCTCTGTCAGCGGCCAACCTGTTTGACAGATCTTCTCAGTGAAACGCTTTTCCGGTAAGACGGGTAGAAGACAGCATGGACCAGATGTAAGACAGCCTCACAAGAGGCCCTGCTATGTGCGTATGTGAAAAAAAAGGGGCGGAATCGAGCAACGGGAGAGGGAACGAGTTGGGGTGTTCATTAGCTGGACATAGCTGGTCATGAAGGAAAGACATTCACCTTCATTCACCAGTATTGACCAACATTAACCAGTATATCAATGTATATTAACCCTTATATTAACATATATTAACCATTATTTCACATCCACGAAAGGCCCAAGAGATCCGAAGAGTTCTGGGAGCCGCATCCGCAGGAGAGGTTGAGCGCCTCAACAAGGAGCTGGGTGGACTGCGAGAGAAGTTGGAGCGGACCCAGGCTTTCGTTTTGGCCGAAATAGGTCCTAAATAGGTTCCATTTGTATCCATTTGTTCGGATGGAATGGGTATGAATGGCTTCACATTTTAATCATGAAATTAGGTTTTGCACAAGATGTGTTCCTGCCGATGTTCCTGGAATTTGCATGAATTTGCAATATTTTGCGCTTTGCATATGACTTTTGGAGCAAAGATGATCAAAGATGCATATTTTGGAACAAAGTTCAGTTGAAGGAACAAAGAAGCATATGACTTTTGGCTTCCAGCAGGCTCCAGGTGCCAATGATGCCAGGCGCAGATCTCAGGGGAGCGCTCTGCGATGCAGCAAATCGACGAGTTGGACAGCCTGCTTCGTTTCTCCAAGGCCGAGGCTCGCTCGCTTCGCTCGGTTCGCTGGAAGCCGATGTGTTGCTAGGCGGTTGCTCATTCTGAGTCCCGCTTAGTTATCACATGCAACATAACATGATTTTGATGCAATCATAATCATATTTACTGTAACAGTAGCTATATGTAACTCCTTGGTGTTCTTCATACTTCAGTAGTCATCAAAGTAATATGTCATCATGACCCTCATCAGAGCTACCCTTGGACTCAATCAGAGTTGCGAAGACCAGCGCTGCAATGCAACCGCAAACATCAGCCGATCATAAGTTATAATTATCAATCTTGCTAGAACACACATTTCCATGTTATGAGGATATATGCAATTGAAGAGCAATTGTGATTAATTATGAATGATTGTGAACATTTACGAGTGACATAAGTAACATTGATTGTCGAATCGACGTTTGGGATGAGTGCGACATGTTCTGTTCTGTTGACACTCTAGGCTCAAACTTGGAAATGCCACCTCCTTGCAATAAATGCAAGCGTAGTGTGGCTCAGGACGGGGACTCGTGGTGCTTAGGTTGTGCGAGCCTTGAGCACTGCCAAAACATCCTCCGCCAGCCTTGGAGGAACCAGGCGCTGAGGTTGGTCACTGAGGAGGCCTTGCTGTCCAGTGCCCGACTGGCAAGAGCTTTCTCAAACCTGGATCAGCGGGTTCAGGCTTCAGGTGCTGCCTCTACAGGGCGTGCACCTGAGACACATCCGAAGAGCAGGCCTCAGCGCCCTGTCTCTAGATCCCCCCGAAGGGATCAGAGGCCTCCTCTCCCCCGGTCCCCGGCTCGTGCTGCACCAGCTGAGCCGCGTGCGGACAGGGAGTCAGAGAGCGACTTCCTGGAGGAAGAGGAAGAAGAGGAGGAGGAGCCCGACACCGAGGTGAAGCGGGAGCGTCACGGTGACGACAAGCCGCCAGAGCCCGAAGGTCTTCCACCTGGCCGCTACGAGGGTCGGTCTTCGGACAAGAGGAGCGAGCGTAGGGAACAGCATCACTCAGAAGGCAAGAAGGAGCATCACCGCTCAGGCGGTTCAGGCAAGAAGAAGAAGCGGCGAGGCGGCACAAAGCATCAACGCCGGTACAGGGACCTGGAGAACCCCTTCCGAAGGAGTCACAGGAAGATCCGCCCTGACCAGCTGGAGCTGGCCACTTCGTTGGAAGAAGGGCTGGCCCGGAGGCATTAGCCCTACCCATTGCTGTCACAAGACTTGCAATGGCGGAAACAGAGGCAGAGACAGAGTTGGGGGAGACTCCCCTTGCGCCCGGTGAGCCCGGTTATGTCGACCGGATTCAAGACCTTTTGCGGCAGGCCCCAAAGCCTACCACCGTACAGCAATACAATGTGGAAGAGGCAGCGCTTTGGGCTCATCGGCACCTGCCTCCGGGTTCGGTGCTGGAGTTCACCTCAATGGGAGAAGATGGGGCGACACCAGAAGGGTTGGTTGCCCTCCTAGTGACTGGCTATCACAGTCAGCCCGACGGCATCTGGCTGGAAGTCAACGTGCTGGGTGCCGAGGAAGAAGGTACAAAAAAGGAGATGCAGAAGTATTTCAAGAACGGTCGGCGGCAAGTTCACGTCTGCATGCCCGACTCTCAAGGGGCGTGCCCTTTGAAGGGCGAGAATGGATTGCACCTGACCGCATTTCGCTGGTTCCCGCCGGGCGATTATGCGGCAGATTTCCTGAACGCCTATGCTATGAAAAAGGTTCGAGAAGGGCCCAAGATGGAGCTGGCGGCCCAAGAAAGAGAAAAGAGGAGGAGGAGCAAGAAGCCAGCAGCCGAGCCACCTCCTGGCGAAACCGATACCGAGAGGAGACTGGCTGCTTTGCGAGGAACCTCGCCGCGAGTTACCTTTGCAGATCCGCCGGTAAGACCGCTCTCTTCTTCTCGTCCCGCTGGAGAGCTGGCTGGACCCCGGGTTGGGGCCTTGAGGCGGCCTGGGGAAGGCCGTGCCGCTCCGGGACCAGCGGGAGCAATCCTCGACAAGGTGAAGACGGAGACGATCGATCTGACGCGCGACAAGAGCAGGTCGCTGTCGAAGGCCCGAGGCAGGAAGAAGAGCCGTGTCGGGGAGGCGCTGGCTCAGGCTGCTCTCTCACAGCAACAGAGCCAGCCCAAGAGGGACTCGAGTCGAAGCCGAAGGAGGAGGAAGAGAAAGAGGAAAGGTCGAAAGAGGAGCAGCGACGAGGACAGCAGTTACTCGGCCAGCTCGTCAGAGAGCAGCTCGTTGCACCCTCCCCTAAAGCGGAGGTCCATGAAGGACCCAGGGTCGGTGCTGAGGATGCTCGAGCATCAGGCCTACGAGTTCCTTGCCCAGGATGGCATTGTGGACGAGGAGAAGGAGGACGAGAATCAGGGGCAGCGGCCCAAGCTGGTGACCTACTACCAGCTGGCCTTGAGGCCCAGCATGGACCCAAGAAGCAGAGACGCCAAAGAGTTGGCTCTCCTCTGCCGAGCGCTGGACATGCTGCGCGACGGGCGTTTGGACGCGATGGGAGACTTGTTGGCCGCTCGTCTGATGGCAGTCGAGACGGCGACAAAACAAGGCTGGGCCACGGCGCGTCATTTGGAGATCAATGCGGAGGAGGAAGGCACCACACCAGCTCATGTGCTGTTAGCAGCACAAAAGCATGGGAAGCAGGTCGAGAAGGCAGGAGGAAAAGGAAGCTGGAGCCAGTTGCAGAGCTGGTCAGGCGGTTGGTATGGAAGCAGCGGCAAGAGTGCCGGGAAGCACAAGGATGGCAAAGGGAAAGGAAAGAAAGGAAAACCAAAAGGACGAGGAGGAAAAGGCTGGGAGTCCTGGGGAAACCCAGGAGGAGAGAAAGGAGACGCGAAGAAGGGCCAAGAAGGGGGCCCTTGAAGAGAGGAGAGGCGCTGAGCGAAGGGAGGCAGCCCTTGGCGCTCGGTTATAGGTATGAAGGTGGTATAAAGGTCCGAGAAGGGCCTCCGGAGGAGACTACAGCTGCGGGAGCTGGGGCGGGGAATTCTGGCCCTGAGCTCCCTGGTGTTGCTGACTTGGAGGAGTCTTGCATGCCCGAAAGGGATATAACCCTAGCGGCCGACGTGCTGCTGGGGGCAGGTGATGACACTACGAAGGCGCCATCCCTTTGTGACACAGGCGCTCTGCATGACAGGAAGAGTGGCTTCTGCGGACCAGGGGTGAACCTGGGTTCGCAGGCCAGCTATGATGAGTGGCTTGGATCTCTAAGCCAGGTTTCAAGCATCAGGCAGCTGGGGATTTTACTGGCATGGGGGCAACTGTCCGGGCATATGCTTTTTGGCAATTCTAGTGCTGGACCACCACAGGCCGCTGCACGAAACAAGCGTGGCGGTGGCCTGTTCCCCCTGCCGGTTAACTGGCCTGCCGATTTTTTCCTAAGGTGGCAAGAACAGTTTGCTACCCATTGTACAGCTTTTTCCGTAGACTGCTGGGTCGCTTTAGTTTGCGTCTCACTCAATTGCCTGTATGGGTACCGGCGACAGGGCCCAGTGCGACGGCCTGGAAAAGTTCATGCCGCAGCCTTGGATGGGTTGCGCAGTAGGATTTGTAGGTTTCTTTCTAGGGATGACCCCAAAAGCTGTTTGTTTGGTGAAATTGTCCGGGAGTTGAGAGAAAGAAGGGTCAGCTATACAGGAGAGGAAGTCTCTCAGCCTATGGCACTGACGGCTGAGCAAATCTCCAAAAGTCTTCCTCCCGAGGGACATGGGGGGTGCATCCCTGTAGTGAAATTTTTGAAGGGTAGGACAAAGTTTCTAGTTGAGAATCCGCTGGAAAGTTTTATCCCTTTGCAAGACCGGGAACCAGGACCTATGCAGGCGAAGGTACATATCCAGAAAGGAGCCGAGTTGGAAGTCTTTGCACTGCTGGAAAATCGGGGGGTTGTTTCATGGCTTCCCCAATCTGAGGTTTTTGGTGATGAGACCGGGCAATGCCTTAACGGTATGTTCGGTGTTGTGAAACCCGGGAAATTTACATCGAGTGGAACCCCAGTTCTGCGTGTCATCATGAATCTCATACCGGCAAACCGACTGTTCCAGGTGATTATTGGCGATGTTCAACTTCTTCCAAGTGGGGCGGCTTGGATACCACTTGTGGTGAACGAGCACGAGGAGCTCAGGGTATCACAAGGCGACATGAGCTCGGCCTTTTATCTATATTCCATCCCAGAAGCATGGCACCGCTATCTGTGCTTCAATTTCTCTGCAGATGGGGCAGCAATAGGGCGGTTGCCTGGGGTCTCGTACAGACCCTGTTGCGTTGTGCTTCCGATGGGATGGAATTCAAGCGTGGGCATCATGCAACAGCTCTCTAGGGAACTGCTGCTGATGCGTGATCTCCCGGCTGGGTTGGAAGTCCACAAGGGGCGGCCCGTGCCTGGTTGGTTTACAAACGTGGTGGAGCAAGCGACATCAACTCGTGCCTGGTGGCAAGTCTATCTTGACAACTTCATGGCTGCGGAGCGAGTGGAAGGGACCTACAAGGAGTTGGACATGGACTTGCAATCTCAAGCGATGCGAGCTTGGCACGCTACTGGTGTCCTTACCGCCGATGACAAACAGGTACTTGGGGCCCTTGATGCGGTTGAGCTAGGCATCAGGCTGGATGGACATCATGGCTTACTTAGGGCCTCTGCGGAGCGTCTGTTTAAGACCTCGCTGGCCACGATACGCATCCTCCAGCTAAGGGGCGGCTCGAAGAAAGAAGCGCAGATCGTATTGGGCCGATGGGTATTCATCTTACAGTTCCGGAGAGCTGCCATGGGCGTGCTCTCCAGGTCATGGGATGCCATCGAATCGCTGTGGGTCAGCCCAAAAGGGAAGAACCTAATGCTGCAGGAACTCCAGATGTTGCTTTGTTTGGGACCTATACTACAAACCGATCTGCGGTGCGACTACGATGGGACGGTGACTTGCTCGGATGCCTCGGAGACCGGAGGTGCAGCTGCTCAGAGCCTAGGCCTGAGCTGGTCGGGGCAGTCCTTAGTGAGCTCGCTACAAAATCCCCTGATGCGGCCTTTGGAATACCCCCTGTTGATTATATCAGTATTTAATGGGGTCGGTGGAGCCTTCCGCCTGTATGACATCTTGGGCATAACTCCACTTGGTCGCATCAGCATCGAAATTTCCAAAGACGCCAACAGGGTCACTCGGTGCACCTGGCCCGGCGTGGAGGAGCTGTTAGATGTGGAGGAGCTCACGAAGGCGGACGTGCAAAGGTGGGCCAATATGTACCCCCGGGTACTGGAGGTGCACCTGTGGGCCGGCTTCCCTTGCGTTCACCTGTCGAGGGTGAGGGCTTACCGCCAAAACCTGCAAGGGGACGGGTCGCGGCTATTCTGGAAGCTGCTGGAGTTACTCAGGTGGGTCCAGGAGGTTTTCGAGCCCCATGCAAAGGTTCGCTTTTGCGTCGAAAACGTGGCCTCAATGGATGAAGACGCAAGGCGCGAAATAAGTCAATGCCTTGACGTCCAGCCGGTCAAGTTGGATCCTTCTGACACTCTCCCCTTCAACCGGCCACGGTTGGCGTGGTGCTCAGAAACCCTCTATGAGATGGAGGAGCTCAGCCTGTGGACAGAGGGTGACTACGTACGGGCGTATGTCCAGGCCGGGGAAGTCGAAGACTCTCAATGGATTCGACCAGGCTGGTCCTGGCCTGGGGGGGACGATGGGCAGACCCGATTGCCCACCTTCATGAAGGCTATTGCGCGACATGCGCCTCCCCCTTATCCAGCGGGCTTGAACAAAGCCACGCTGGATGCCCAAGAGCGCTGGCGTAATGATAGCTTCAGGTTCCCTCCCTATCAATACGACCAAAAGTATCTTCTACACCACCAGGACCATGAACCCAGACTCCTGGACTCGTCCGAGCGCGAGCTGCTACTTGGCCTAGGCCCTGGGCATACCTCGACATGCCGTTCGGCTTCAGTGGCGAAAGCAAATTGGCAGGCCTACGAGGACAGCAGGAAAAGCCTGTGCGGGGATTCCTTTGCTGTGTCCTCCTTCGCCATCATGGCGGCGGCCATGTGTGCGGAATGGGCCCCTCGGATGAAGCCTTCTCAAATCATCCGCAGACTTGGGCTGGCCCCTGGGGCCTCTGCCCATCCATCTGTAGCCGTGCCCATGGGCAGATGGCTAGCTTACGGTGGTGACGGTGGCGAAGATCATCCCGGAGATCAGCTTGTTAGGCAACTGGGACTGCAAGTAAACCACACAGGGGCCGATGTCAGGTTGGTTACTGGGGAACCTATGTCAAAAAAGGGCAACCACGGATCACTCCGGGCTTGGTGGTGGCAGTGGAAGCACCTGTTCAAGGTGCGCTGGGTCGACCCAGCTCATATTAACTTCCTGGAAATGAAAATGATCTTACTTACTATGCTCTGGAAGGCTAGGTCCCCTTCTACAATCAATAAAAGACGGTTGCACCTAGAGGATAGCATGGTGTGTTTGTATATACTTTCAAAAGGGCGTACATCAAGCCGCCTCCTGCAGCCGTTGTGCAACAAGATCGGGGCCGTCCAACTGTTCCTGGGGGTGACGGTGCTACATGGACACGTGCCTAGCCTGGAGAATCCCACGGACGCAGGGAGCAGGCAATAATGCCGGGTGTGCTGCCTCGAGCATTTCTTGCCGGCCGAACCCGCGCGGACCGTCAGCGGCAACGCGCTGGTACCAGGCTCCGGGATTTCTCCATTACGCCCAAGACCCGTGCTCGCTATGAGGCAGCTGTCGGGCGCATCTTGCCTTACCTTGAGGCCCAACCTCATCTACACCACCTTGATGAGGTCATTTGCGACTGGATCGAGTGGCAATGGGCCCGAGGCGAGAGCGTTGGGGTTATAGCCGATGCGCTCTCAGGCCTCCACTTCTATTGGCCAGAGGTGCGGGGGCACCTACGTGGTGCCTGGCGCCTTTTTAAACATTGGAGGAAGGTAGAAAGCCCATGCCGAGCCCCTCCGCTGACATGGGAGCTGGCTCGGGCCTTTGTGGCTAGAGCTGTCGCTACGAACGACATTGCTCTTGCCACCCTAGTGGCGCTTGGGTTTCATGGTCTCCTTCGCACCGGAGAGCTTCTTGGACTCCGCTTTGGAGATATTGAATTCAATCAATCCTGCGGAGTGGTTAGCCTACAACAGTCCAAAACCGGCCACCGCACTGGGTCGCAAGAAGCCATTGCGGTGAGGGATAGTCTCACCTTGCAATTGCTGAGCACAATGGTGGCCATCAGGCACCCATGTGCTGGCGACCTCTTGTGGCCGCATTCGGGGCAATCCTTTCGCTCAGGCTTTCGGGCCTTGTGCGATTACTTCCAGGTCGCTGGGCTCCATTTCAAGCCCTACTCTCTTCGGAGAGGAGGGGCGACTTACTTATTACAACAAAATGTCGCGCTGGAGTCTATACTCGTGCGCGGACGATGGAGGAGCCTACAAGTCGCGCGCCTCTACCTCCAAGATGGCATGGCGCAAATTCCAGGACTGCGAAGCTCCGCAGGTCAACAAAGGGTGATTTCTGCGTGGGCGAAAAAGACCCCGGAAACGGCCTTCAGGCCATAATTTTTTTGGGGTCGTGGTATAGCCCACCCCTTGCTGGCCGCGGCACTGCAAGGAGGTTGGGAGAAGGTCAAAAAATTCAAATGAGCGGTCCGATTCCATACCAGTTGGAAAGGCCGGCTCCCGAGCTGTCTTCGCGTTTCCATACCAATTGGCGCGTAGAAGCAGTCTCAAAGAATCTGCCATACCATTGGCAGGATTTCAACCTAATGAAAGTTTGCCAATCCAAATGGATGCAAACAAAGGTTTAAAGACCTTCTGTCCAGCACAGAAAAATGAGCCGCGAATCCCATATATAGGACAGCTGATTCAAGACTCAGACTGTCCGTATTTCTGGCAGAAGTCGCATAGCCGCAGCATCGGCCGCGAACACTGCCCAGGTCACGCGGCTTCAAACAGAGCTCGAGTCTGTCAAGAAGCAGGAGCCATGATGAGATATGATGAGCCATGGCAGGCAGTTCACGGCCATGGATGACTGCCCTGTGCACCACACCATGGGTCGTCACTGGCACCCCAAAGGAGACCGAGTTGAGGAGAGGGAAGTACAGGTACGAAATCGACATGGCCAAGGTGCATCAACGTGCAGCAAATCTCAGAACCATTGCCCACTGCGCAATGGCGTCCGCTGCCAGCTCCATTTCAACCACTGTAGTGAAATCAATTCAATCAAACCGTCCTGAATGTGGCAGTGTGATGAATTGTGGTGAAACATTGGCTCGCACTTTGATCAACAATTCTGAGCATTTCACAGACGGCTTGGCCAGAGGTGACGCAAGAAAACCAAAAAAATCAGGAGCATGGGAGGGTCCTCGGCTGTTTAAATATCTTTTTATTCAGTTGGGAAGGACAACGAAATACAACCATTGACATTCCATTTCGAGAAGCCTCTGCCAGCTGCATGCTTGGGTGCAAATCTGTTTGCTTGTTTATTGTTTGCTCCCAGACAGCTCAAGCAGATCAGGAATCCCCCTCAAAGCTTGAAATGAAGGCCAAGCTAGTCCCTGGAATCACCATCCAACATTTGCAGGAGGAGCTAGTGCGCCTGCGGTTTCAGACACAAAGCCAAGAGGGCATTCCATCTTCGGCAACTTAGATGTGAAGGGATGTGGAGTGCTGGAAGGCCTTGGAGGTACAGATTTCTAATGAAATCGTGTGAATTGTAAGGCTGGGTCAATCGAAGATGTGGGGAGTCAAACACCGAAGCACCGAGGTAGTTCTGGCGGAAACTCTGGACACTGCCAAAAAGGATCTCGAGGCTAAAGACACGGTTATCCGCGGCCTGGCGTCAAGAGATGTCGAGAGCAACAAGTTCAGGAGATTTCCAGATATTGCCAGCTAACAGCCCTGATATTGTCCAATTGTTATGGATGTTATGGTTGAATGTTGATGGATAATGATGGATATCTCGTTTTGAGATGTTTTGATGCCCCATTGGCCTCTGGCAGCTGGTGTAGCTGGTAAGGTGAACTGCAACTTGCGGGGACCAGGGCTGGCGCCCAGTTGGTGGACTTGATGGAGAAGCAAAGGCTGGGAAGATGTCCCTGGTAGCCCTGGTTCCCAACCCGTGGCTACAATGCACCTGCAATCACCTGCATCTTTACTTATCTTTACTTTAGACATCTTTAGACTGCCTTAACTTATTGTTTCGTTGTTGCTTCTGTTGGTCTTGATTGTTGATAGTTTTATAGTGTTTTATTATGTTTTATTTTGTCGTGACAGTCTTGGCTCTTTGTTGTCATCTCGGATCATGCCGACATTGAGCTCACTAGTTTCGCAAGGCAAAGTGAAATTCTGCTCCGCCGAGTGCCAGAACTTGAAGCTGAAAACCACGCCTTGCGGCAAGAGCTCAACGGGACCTTTGGTGCAACACGCTTTTACCTGGGGAATGGAGTCGAGGAGAAACGATGAGAAAACACACATGAAGTGCCTCTCTAATTCTGCCATTTATTTGCATGATGTTGTATATATATATATATGTTGATATTGATGTTGTATATGTTAAGTTTTTGTCTCTCTCGTGCTGTTTTGGCCTTGGAGCTTCGAGGAAGGTGGCCGAGTTGTCAGCGTTGAAAGAGACCTTGCTTCAAACAGAGGCAGCCGCTGCGGGATCATTGCGGGTGCTGGCACAATTCTTCGGTGTCCGAAGTCCTTATAAAACCGCATATATAATAAATGTAATAAATTCAATGGGGATATGTTGTGTCACCTCAAGAAAACAATATCATACGATTCATATTGTACTATAATTCATATCAAGTCATCGGGAAAGATGCTACCGCCACACATGTGCTTCATCTCAGAGATGAATAGGTGACGTATTGTATTCTATTCACCCACGCATTTGTCAGAATTATAGATTAGCTAATTATCACCTGAATAACGCCACAATAATCTTTGAAAGCAAACACATCATTCGCTAAATCATCATCTATAAATCGCATCTAATAGGTTCTATAAAGTATTATCAATGTATTACCTACAAATATATAATAGTTAACATCTTAAACCACATGATGTTATTTATATCATATTATTACATATACCATATTAAAACATATTAAACAGTATGATCATTATTACTATTGTTTAAAATTATATGTTAACATGGTATAACAATATAATTAATCATATATACCAGTATAAACCGTATTAAACCATATTAAACAGAGCATCATCATTCTTATAAACATTATCATATATAAAACAATATTATAAACATTATCATATTAAACCAGTGTTATAAATCCATATTAAACCGTATTAAACCACATTAAACCTGCTTGGTGGTTTGGAACAGGAGAAGCTACGGCTGCGGGAGGCGGCCCCCGAGCTGACGGCCGCCGAGCTGCTGGCCTCGGAGGCGGAGCGCCTGGAGGAGGACGACCACTAGGAGGGTGAACCATGGATGGTGAATGGTTAACCATAGGAAAACCATAGGAAAACCATAGGAAAACATAGGAAAATGGTGGTTTAATGGGATTTAATGGGAGTTACCCTCTGGTTATGTCAAAATAGCTATTGAAAATGGCCATAGAAATAGTGGATTTTCCCATTGAAAATGGTGATTTTCCATGGTTATGTTAAATTACCAGAGGGTAATGGGTACCATCCAATGGTTTTTTTGGATGGTGATGGTTTTCCTGGTTAATGGATGGTGAATGGGTTAACACATGGTTAATGGTTAATGGTTAATGGATGGTGATGGTTTTCCTGGATGGTGAATGGGTTAACACATGGTTAATAGTTAATGGTTAATGGATGGTGATGGTTAATGGATGGTGAATTGGTTAATTCACCCATGTGATCCATGTGTTTTACACCATTAATCATGGGTAAAGAACTATATCACTATATCCAGAACCACTGGGTTATCTAATAATAATCATTATTATTATGATGGGTAATGATTGATGGTTAATCATGGATAATTAATAACATCTATTGTGATGATTAACATCATTCACCAGCTATGACTTAGAATAATGGGTGAAGAACCTACATCCATGAACATCAGCTATACCGACTACAAGAGCTTGTGGTTGGATTCCAGCTATACTACAGCTACGACTGATTGAAAAGGGGTACCAGATGTACCAGATGGTACCAGGGTTTTGAGCCTGGAAATTCCGTTTCGGAATGGCAGGAGCTGGCGTTTGCCCATGATCAACTTGCCAACTGGCAGGCGGCGACAGGATGCCACAAGCACCATGGTCAGCCTGGTTATATAAATAGAAAAAGAATCCCAAGGTTCTCCCAACTGGACTCTGAAGGCACTCCAGCTCCCAAATCCCAGTTCTTGATAGGAAATCAAAGTAAATCCCAGTAAATTGCCAGAGGCTATGACTCTCCCCAATTTCAACATGTTAAATCCACTACCGCGCAGCGCGAAAAGGTCGAGTTCAAGAAACGCGAAGACTTGCTGCGGGGCATTCCACTGGTCTTTGCGGACTTTTTGGCTCAGATCAATGCACCGGACCCTGCGCCCTGGCAAACCAGAGGGGAGAAATGCTGGGACCCCTTTGTCTTTGCTTTTCTACCTGCATTATATATATATACAATAATATAATATAATATATATATAATAATAATATCGGGATTTTACTTTTGTGGGTTACAATCACGTCAGTTTTGGTGATTGTAATCATGACATATAATGGGTGAGACATGTTGAGACTTAATATTATATATATATATGTTTATTTAAACATATATCTAACAATTGGGAGCTCTGAAATGCTGATAGGACGAGATGGGCCACTGAGGCACTATCCAGCAGCAACCTTCGCCCAGAGGATGCTCCGCGATTTGTTATCGCGGCCCTGCAACGGCTGCAGCTCACCATGGTAAAGCGACGCTTGACTTCCATGGATATGGTATCATTCACGGTATCTGTTGATTGCTGGTTCGGACTGCCAATCATCCAATTGACACGATTTTAGTACCAACGTTGTCAGAGAGGTGGATGTGATTAATCATACATTGTAAATTATATGGTCATTCTTTCGAAGTAAGTGCAGATCATATAAAAGATGCACTTGTCATGAACGAACTTGAATCATCACAGCTGCTTCAGGCGAGGAAGAGCTGAAATTTGCACATGAAAAGATTGCAGAGCTTTCTCAGTGACCATCAGCAGAGGGATGGGCCGGTTCGGTTTGGAGTTCTTTTGTGTCATGGTTGACATTTGATGGCCTTTGTGGGCTGATGCTGACAGCCTGGGCAGGTACGCTGGCTCTCAGGGTATGAGCGGAAGCTTCATTGCCAAGATGGCCATGTTGATGTACCTCCTGGAGGTGGTGCGGAGAAGATTCCTGGATTGTGACTGGTTCTTCCAGTCTCAGTGGTGTAAAACCTTGCTGCGTTGCTATTGGAAATTTCAGTCAACATGTTAGCAATGCATAGTAAGATATAGTAAGCTTGTAAGTCCTCCAATGACTCACCTTTTCCCATTGAGATTTTTGGCATTTTTACATATTTTTACCAGAGATCACCAGCTCAAAAAGCATCCCATTGCCATATATTGCCATCACGGGGCTATGTTGGCAGGTCTCAGTGCTGTCTGGCAGCGGCTTACGTGATGCCAAATGGAAGCCCAGTAGTAACGGCGCGGGGCTTTCATGTGGCCTGGCATGGTGGGCCTGGGACACCCAAGGGCCATTTCAGGCTGTTTTGAGGGAATTTGCTCTGATGTTAGTACGTACATATGTTCGTGCATATATATACATATATATGGTTTTATATCACCCATTTTCACGGTAATTAATATATTTGGGGATGGTGAATTTCATTGATGGATTGCGGACATATTGGCTTGGAATATTGATTGACGGAATCATCGTCAATCTTGGGCAAGGTGCGGAGACTTCTTTCAAATTCTTTAATGCTGCTCAGCGCGCTAAATATCAGTTCTTATAAATGCGTTGAATGTGGGTTGACAAGGCTTAAGACAATTGTTGTTTGTTGGTAGTGTCGGTTGGTGTTGACCAATATTGGCTAACTCATCACCCCACGATAGGCTGAGTGATCGATACATTCAACTTGTTTTCAAGGACTTAAGATTTAGGTCATCCAATCACGGCCACCAAAACTTCTGAAGAAAGGTCAAAACATATATATATATAATTATATATATATATATATTGTGTATAATTATATGTATACTTATTGTTCTGTATGTTTGACTTGGACTTACCATCACTTATCTTAAATAGATCCACCCGCTGTACCAGCACAACATGGAGAATTCAGGGTCCTGGAGCTGAGGCACTGTGGAAATTCCTGGAAAGGAGGCCAGAAGTGGACAGGTCGTGGGATAGGAAGAGATCGGAGGAATTGTGAGCGATGTAACCTTCAGAATCTTCAAGATTTGATGGGTTTGTTTGGTTGTTGATATGTTTTGGAAACATGTCATAATTATATACATATATACATATATATATTTGTACAATTATTTAAGTTTCTATTTTTCTGAACATGATCGACATCCGTTTCACAGGATAAACTGGTGACCAAGAGCATTCACACTACAAAGGACCCAGTTTCTCGGTGGCTTTGTAAGACGTGGCGCACAAAGTTGATTGAATCGACAAGCAGAAACCCTGGAGTCACAACCTTGGGAAGTTCGTGAGAAGAGGATAAAGGATTGGCGCCAGGTCGGCCAATCATTGAAGGGTCCCATCGTGCAGATAGTTGGTTTGTATTGAGAAGACACTAAGAGAAGACTAGGGCCCGAAAAGAGAAGTGTAGACATCGCCGTGATGCCGTGAGAGCAGGCTTGGAAGTTGGAAGTGCCAGTGACATTCAGTGTGCTCCATGACTCCATGGTTCAGTTTTACACTCAGGTTTGGAATCACACTGGAGACTTGCAGATGTCACACAGCCCCTTGGATTGGTCCAATGGTTTGTCAGGGTGTAGGCAATCTTGGCCCATTTTGATTCATGTGTCCAAACAAAAACCACAAACCCAGGCACATTTGCACAAGTTTTTGAGTTTCAAGTGCTCGACTGTTTTTTGAGTGAGATGGTGATGACCATTGTGGGAGTTCCATTCTGAGCTGCGCCGGCAGGTGACAGCTTATGCTTCACTGTGCAGGGCGAACACAAAATCGGACAGGCCCCGGGAGCGTGAGAGCTGGGGGAAGATGGTGCCGATTCGGACGTGCCTGGAGGTCCTTTGTCCTTGTTTTGAAGCGAAAGTGTCTAAGATCCCCACCCTGGGGATAACTCCCAGGGTTCTAGAATGGGGATCGCGCGCAATTCTAGACCTTTGACCTCCTCCCATTGTAGACCTTTGGAGGTTTTGGTTCCTAGAATGTCTTGTGGTATATTGTAATGTGCCACCTCCAATATTCATGGACCATCCGGAACTAGGTAATCTCCTGGACAGAAAGTTTCCTATGCGGAAACTACTGGTATGATTGATATCTCTGGGAGGGAGTTCGATATTAAGTTCGGACTTCTGCTTGGGATTAGAATCTGAATTGCTTTCATGTTTCTTCTTGTTTTTTTTAAGACCCAAGTGGCTTCCATGCAATCTTAGGTTCTTGAACGTAAACCATTTACTGTACATCCATTTACCCCAGTTCACTCCGAAGGTTTATGTTCACATGGGCCGTGGACCATGGATATGAAATTATCGCTTTGGCTGCGCAGCCTCCTGAACCAAAACATGCAAAGTGCATAAACGCTGATAAAAAAACAGGATGCCAGGTACCATTCACCAATGCAACAAGAGGTCCTGAAATGATATCTCCCAACTCATTCTGTGGATTTATCTTCACCAGGCCCATAGATATGAACTTAGACCCGCCATTCCTGTACAACCCTCTGAACCAAAATGTAAAACAATATGATTTACCGTACTCGGAACGGTTGAGTTCTACACAGGGTTCTGCAATGATATCTCCCAACTCGTTCTGTGAGTTTGTCTTCACAAGGGCCATAGATATGAACTTAGACCCGCCATTCCTGCAAAATCCTCTGAAAAAAATATGAAGAAAGAAACCAATTTGATTTAATATATTTAACTATTATTCGGAAACGGTGAGATTTACACAAGGGCCATAGATATGAATTTAGACCCGCCATTCCTATACAACCCTCTGAACAAAAATGAAGAAACCATGTATTACTCGGAAACGGTTGAATTTTACACAAATGTTTGGAATGATATCTCCCAACTCATTCTGTGGCTTTATCTTCACAAGGGCCATAGATATGGACTTAGACCCCCCAATCCTGCACAATCCCTGAACAAAAATGGAAAAAATAATTTGATTCATCAACCGAAAGGTGTTGGGTGCCAGAAAGTTCTTTTTAACAGATTAAAGCATATTTAAAACTATTTGACATATTGCCAAAAATTGTTTTACGACGCCTTCCCCTGATAACTACATCGAAACCTTAAGTACTAATCAAAAAAATGAAACGATCGTCAGGGACGCGAATAATACACAGTCCCCAGCCAATCAGTTTTTAGTACTAAGATGAACCCTCAAATGGGATCTTGACCCTTAAAATTGTTTTCTAGAGGCGATTAATAAAAGATCAAATTGACCAACCTGAATTTCCCCGAAAATGACAATATGGATCTATTTTTATTCATTAGGGGGTTTAGACATAGGAAAAGGGGATTAGCATGGGAGCAAAGGAAACAGGCGGATAATTGAGCTTGTGAGATTGTGGGTTTTGCTATGCAATTTTTGATCCCTTTTTTTGACAACAGAACGGCTCCAAAATGAAAGGGTTCAAGCTTGATTTCCGAAGAGTTGGTTCCAGAACCCTCCCAAAACAAGCTGCCAAAGGTCTAAAAGCAATTCGTTGATGCCAAGGGTCCCCCCTGGGAAAATGATTTCAGACACCTTTTTGAGGGTTTAAAATCTTCCTCAAGGGTCCCCTGCTCGTACTTGAGGGTATGAGAATTGTGCAGACGTGCGATGTGTTCAGATGTGTGGGCTTGTGGGCCAGATGTGTGGCTAGCTGTTTCAGGCTGTGCTGCCTGCATCGCGAGCCGTGGTTGCAGGACTGCCACCAGAAGCATGTCTTGAAAGAAATGTCTTGATGTTTCATTGGTGGTTTGCAGCCCCAAGGGCTTAGAGATTGAATCCTTAACAAATATAATAAAACAATATAAAACGTATATATATATATTTACATTATGTAACAACAATATTAGAAATAATTTAATCGATTGAAAAAAAATATTTAGATTTCAATGTCTTAAATCTTCAGCGTTCCGTCCACATGATCCTGATATATCCAGTAGGAGCACAACATCATTTTTGGATTCCCACAGCTCCAGGTGTATCCCCCGCTTTGTCACCTCACCTGCAAGGCTTTGAGGGTGACCTCAAGCTGAACGCAACGGAGACTGGCCTGGAGAATGCCATGATCAAGGCAGCCACCAGGGATGGAATTGTCCAGATATACCCTTTGGTAGTCGTTTACATAGCTAATTATGGAACATATGGAACCATTTTTAAAGGAAAATCTACGTTCATGGGCCTGGTTTCATAGCTGTCTTAGATTACCGGAGGGTATCCAGAAATTGGGCATCATATTATATATGTGTGTGTGTGTCTTAAACATTGCAGTTTTCGGGCGAAGGAAAAGGCTAAAGCATGGAATTTGCGGTGCCCGCCCTGTTCTTGGACCAACTCAAATAGTGGGATGGCATCACTACCTATGGGACCACCTGAAGGGGGGATGCGCCCAGCAATTGCTGTGTTGAAATCCTCGGGTGTGCGTGCAGACTGTTGTGAATAGACCAAACCTTGGCCGAAGCTTTTCGGGACGATGCAGAAACACCATTGCACCAAGCATTTTCCACGAACGAATCTTAAGTTTCAGCCCCCTAGAAGAAACGATTTATGAAGTGTGGCTTGGAGAGAGATTCCACTTTTGCTTGTTCTGAGATATTGTGGCTGCTTGACTTGTTTGTCTCCTTTGCTCCTTACAACCTGTTCTTTCCACGCCCAGCCAACAACAGCAGACATAGCCAGTACCATCCAGCGACACCAATGGTTGCCCGATCGAAGCAAGCTGCGCTGCGGCTGCCCTTGGTCGTTTGCTTGCTGTGTCTGAATTATGGAGGAGATCAGCTGGTGGGTCACCCGCAGTCAACAAGAAATTATGTAAAATGCTGAATGGATACAAATGCTACGCCAAGTATGGATGAGATGATGAATGGTCAGCTCACAGCAGGGTCATGTGATCATGTGATCATGTAGTGTACATCATACAATAATAAAAATAACTAACTAACTAACTAACTAACTAAATAAATAAATAAATAGATAAATGAGAAATATATAGTATAATGCATATATATATATACATACACACACACATATATATATATATACATTAGTGACTTGGGTCCGCATCCATTGCGCCCAGCAAAGGAGATGGGTTTTCCACGACGACATTGGCAACTTCGACCACCTCGGCTGGTGGCTCTTTCGCCATTGTCATCATGCCATGATCGACAGTTGGATTAGATCCATGTTGGGGGATGGTCATCCCTCAAAAATAGTGGCTATATGATATATATATATATACCCTCTGGTAAACTAACATAGCTATGGAAAATCACAATTTTTAATGGGAAAATCCACTATTGATGGCCATTTTCAATAGCTACGTTAAATTACCAGAGGGTATATATTAATCAATATACCATAATATGCGATGAATTGAGAGATGACCATCCCGCAAGAAGAGTGATTTTGTAGTGATAATGGTGATTAATAGTGATTAATGATTAGAATGGTGATGAATAGTGGTAATATACCATAATACCCCCATGAAAAGGTAATATACCATATAATAATATATGTATATATATATATATATATATTTACCCATACACAGGAGTCCCTGGTGACTATAACCATCCATAAGCCATATACTCTGTAATTATTACATGGCACCATGTAGAGTCAGGTCTGGGCACTCGCGAGCAGAAGATGACCTTGTCCCTGTCCAAAGATGGAACAAATGTGCAGAAAGAGGCGTGGGTTTGTGGCACTGAGAGCTTTGGAAAATTGACCGGCTGCTTCATTGCAGATTACACCTTCGCCAGTGAACCTGTGATCAGCAACCCCAAGTTCGTGTCACATCCGTCAGCGTTGTGCCATGGTGGGACTTAACTTTTTTTTTTGTTGGACCTGTATGCTTCCAAGCACGAAAGTGTCGATCTGCAGGGATCAAGATACTTGCTTTGGTGCGGCCTGTTGCTGACTGGCAGTGCTCTTGGGGCTTTGCATTGCAGAAGGACGGAGGCATCAGGTGAACATTGTTGCATGCAGGAACTGAGCAAAGCAATCACTTGCTTGATTAATGTTTATGTATGTTACTTTACAATTTCGATAATGGACGGATGCTGTCCCGCAGAGCGAGGACGTTATTCCCTCAGAAAGGGTTTGTTCTTTTCCACACTCCGCCTTGCTTGGCATGTAAGAGCGTACACTGCCTCAGAGTCATTCCCCGCTTCTATTAGGGTAAGAACTTGGCGTTGACAGATTTTAAACCCAACAGTTGTTGCGGTGGCACGCCAAATGCCATAGCATGCATCGGTTGAAGATGAGGACATCCTTCACGTGCTGGAAAATGATCGAAGGATATAGAACATATTTATTTATGTTTATTTAGAATTTCATGGTTTTCTCACGTTTTTTTATCTTTTTTTTCCACCCAGCCATTGGTGGCACTGCTTCTGACATCTGACTCATTTTTTTTGGAACCAGGACAGCGAGGGCTGCGAAGGCTATGCCGCAAAGCTCGTGAGCTGGCTGCATTGCTGGCTCTGAGACATTTTTTGGTCGCTTGCAGTGGGAGATAGTTAGGACCCTGAGACATCGCGGCCTGAGGAAGAGCTATGCTTTGGCTATGTCGCGATTTCAGATTTTAGGCACTGCGGCAGGAGGTTTGACTTTGCATGCCATGTCCCTGTTTCCAGAACCCAGACGAGATGGGTGCGTTATGGTGCGTTTGCATTGGGGAATTTGCAGGAATGTCTTTTTTTTTTGGTTTTTTGGTGGATGATTGGAATTCGAAAAAAACTTTCATCATCTTTCATCATCCATTTGCATCATATTTCATCAACTTTCATCAACTTTCATCATTTCTCAAAAAATCTTTCCATTTCTTCAGGTATTTGTTGTATCTTGGCAGCGCAATATACGATGCTGCTGATCTTTGGGGTCTATGGCTCTGAGCTCCTGGACCCAGGCCGCCCAGTGTTTTTGGCAAATCTCCACGGGAGAGTTTGATAAGCGGTTGAACCATTGGGGCTATTTACCATTGGATCAAATACCATGTTATGTTATGTTATTGGAAGTATTAAACATAATTACCAGGAACCATTGGGGGTATAATTAACATGGAACCATTGGATAAATTCACCCTTAAACAGGTGAAACATGTTAATTATGTTAATTTTCTGAGCGGGAGAACACGGAGACTCTTCTCATTCTGAAGAAGTCCTGTTCAGTCGTCTTTTTCGTTGCGGTTGGAGTGCAAACCACGGACCGTGGAAATATGTGAAAATGCTGGCAACTGAGCAGCGCAGGCGATGCAAACAAACTCTATGCCGCCGCCAGTTGGGGCGCTTGCTTTCTTGCAGCGCCAGCAGGAGTTTGCTTTGATGCCCTGGGGCCAGCATGGCCTTGTGCTCAGTGCAGATATAATTTGCAGATACAGGTGAGATATGTCATAATATGTCTCAATTTCCTTGTATTGGTGATGAAGTGAGGAAACCCAGGCAAACTGTCTACTGTATACTCATTGAATGGGATTATGAATTTGATATGAATTTAATATAATTGGCATAGTTTTTATATAACGGCCAGTCATGATCGAATCTGTTCACACCATCCTCAACCAAGATCATTCGGAATCACACCTATCCACCCTCAGGTCAACGCTTCTGGGTGGCGCCATGAGCGCATTTGGGTTGGGCACTGCCGCTTTGGTGCTAGGCAGCTATGGTGCAGCCTCGTTACATGGTGCAGATTAGACTCACAAGGCAGTTCATGTATGCAGGATGGGCAGAGGATATATAGATTATAGATGATTATAGTATAGATTTGATAGATCGATGAAGTGGCGCTCAGTCTGCCTTTCTTGCATCCTTTGGTCAGACCAGGTGGCGGTTTTTGTAAATTTTTCAGCCCCAGGTGGCCTCAGTTGGCCCAGTTTTAAACTTCCCACATCTAAGTCTGCTCGTTGCAAGTGTGGGCTACTTGCTCTTTGGATTTGGCGCCACGTTGCTGAACACAGCACCTTGCCATGCACTCGGCCATGAACTGAGTTTGTTCAGGCAAATTCAACGGGCAAGTGCGGCACGAAAAGAAATAAAAAACATGAACTAAACCACCGGATCTTGGGATACTGTAATCAGATTGTTGGTGGAAAATCTCAAAATCAATACAGAAATGATAAGAAATGATTCAAATATATATATATATAGAATGGGCTAGCGCCCGGGTGCCGCCGACCCCCCTTCTGGGGGGTTGGCTCCAACTTGAGCGTTCCTTGGACTCTGCAGCCTCTTCAGCCTTGCTAATTGAGCGTCCTGCCCAGAAGGATCGGACTCAGTTCGATATTTCCTATCCAGTGATAATCATCCCTTTTGATCAGCCACCACCCTCCTCTGTACTACCATTTTTTTTCCTGGGGGTTCAGTACGCTTATTAAAAATCCGTATTTTCCAAAAATCTAGCAGACAGTGGGTGAGGGCCCCGGGGCATGATATGGGGCCAGGAAAAAAATATCATACCAAAGAAGGCCCAGATTTTTTTTGCCTGAAAGCTTCCTGACGTACAGTGACAGGAAATCAGTTTCTGTCTGTTGTGATTGAGGGGGGGTTGATCTATCAGTCTGTGTGTGTAAGGCATCAGGAAATCAATCATGAATGACTCTGATAACGGGTAAATTGTAGAATTCCCAAGGTTAGTAGCCAGGAATTTAAACATGTACCAGGCCCCAAATTTGAACGGGGATTGCCAGGCGATATATAGTCAGACCTCAGGAAAAAAAACGCAGAAGAGATACTGGCCTTTTTTCTCAGAGTATTGCCGGCCGTCGCCAGGAAATGAAGGCTCAAAACCTTAAGAGAAGTCATGTAAGAGAAACACAGGGATTTTCTGAAGGGAAATCATGTAAGAGAAACACATTGCTGATCATGTAAGAGAAACACATTGCTGATCATGTAAGAGAAACACATTTTATCGTATTTGTAAGACGTGCGAACAGACACAAGTGTGTAGTGTTTGCAATACGCGCAAGGACGAAAAGAAATTTTCTGGCGGGGCTTGGAAACGAGCACGCAGGGGCGGTAGAGTGTGTCTAGATTGTTCGGGTAAAGCATGGGGCTGGTGGAGATGCAGCGTCTGCAAGGTAAAGCAAGCAGCGTGCGCTTTTGACTCTTGGCTGGCGCAACATCGTTCTTGTAATGGTGACCAAGTCTGTAGCAACTGCTGGCAGTGCCCCATTCCCCGGGGAAGCATCAGCAAAGCGGTACAGCGGGTAGCGGCAACGCAGGCGAAAGTGACGAGGCAGGCAGCGGAGGAAAAAAAGGCACGCGCCATCGCCGATGTCTGGGCTGCCATCGCGGAACGAAAACGGAAGAGAGAACAGGAGAGCCCCCAAAGGAAGGAAGCAGAGCCGAAGGCAAAACAGCGCAGACAAGAGAATGGAACAGAAATGACCACAGAGGGGCCTGCAGAGGCACATGGCCAACAGGACGACAGCAAGAGGGCGGTGCAGGCGACGACTGATGTCGCGGCTGCCAGCGTGGAACGAAAAAGGAAAACAGAACAGGACACCGCCCAAATGCAGGAAGCCCCGCCGGACGCAAAGCAACGTAGAGATGACGGCGGAACAGAAAGAAGCACAGACAGGCAGGCAGAAATGAGCTGCAAGCAGCAGAGCAAGGGCAGTGCGACGGAGATGTCGGGGGAAGGCAAGAGTTTCCAATATGTTTGTCCCGCTTGCCAAAAGTCTGTGAGGAGCAGTATACGCACGGGCCAAGTAGATCACCGGCGTGCATGTGGTAACCGTTTCCAGGTGTGGGATGCGCAGGTCGTTGCGAAAGGGTATGTTTACATTTGCCCCGCTTGCAAAGGGAATGTGGCCAGTGACGTCAAGACAGGGAAAATAGACCATCGAACGGTCTGTGGGAACCAGTTTTCTGTGAAGGACGGCGTTGTGCAGGAAAAAGCGTATGTTTACATTTGCCCCGCTTGCAAAGGGAATGTGGCCAGTGAGGTCAAGACAGGGCAAATAGACCATCGAACGGTCTGTGGGAACCAGTTTTCTGTAAAGGACGGCGTTGTGCAGGAAAAAGCGTATGTTTACATTTGCCCCGCTTGCAAAGGGAATGTGGCCAGTGAGGTCAAGACAGGGCAAATAGACCATCGAACGGTCTGTGGGAACCAGTTTTCTGTGAGGGACGGCGTCGTGAAGGAGAAAGCGTATGTTTACATTTGCCCCGCTTGCAAAGGGAATGTGGCCAGTGACGTCAAGACAGGGAAAATAGACCATCGAACGGTCTGTGGGAACCAGTTTTCTGTGAGGGACGGCGTCGTGCAGGAAAAAGCGTATGTGTACATTTGCCCCGCTTGCAAAGGGAATGTGGCCAGTGACGTCAAGACAGGGCAAATAGACCATCGAACGGTCTGTGGGAACCAGTTTTCTGTGAGGGACGGCGTTGTGAAGGAGAAAGCATATGTTTACATTTGCCCCGCTTGCAAAGGGAATGTGGCCAGTAACGTGAAGACAGGGCAAGTAGACCATCGAAGGGTCTGTGGGAAGCAGTTTTCTGTCAAGGACGGCGTTGTGAAAGAGAAAGCTGGTAAACGACAAGCTGGAACGCCGAGAAGAAGCTATTGATCTGGCTTTGGGGTATCGTTTGAATTGTGTAAATGCTGGCAAACGGCAGCCTTGGACGCCTAAGAGAATTGATTTGGCCTTTGGGGGCCCTCACATTACTTCATAATTAAACGACAGTACCGTGCCATACGCGCGTGTGACAGCTCAAGTAAAACATGTTTGGAGGGTTTTGGGGTTTAAGGGCTGGCAAACGGCAGGCTTGGACGCTCATAAGAAGCTATTGATGTGTGGCCTTGGGGTGCCTGTTGGCTGCAGGATGAAGCATGCCAAGGGATTGTTTAAGCACCCATAAGAAGCCATTGATGTGTGGCCTCGGGGTGGCTGTTGGCTGCAGGATGAAGCATGCCAAGTCAGCGTTTTGCAGGCTTGGACGCCCATAAGAAGCCATTGATGTGTGGCCTCGGGGTGCCTCTTGGCTGCAGGATGAAGCATGCCAAGGGATTGGTTAAGCGGCCCATAAGAAGCCATTCATGTGTGGCCTCGGGGTGGCTGTTGGCTGCAGGATGAGGCATACCAAGTCAGCGTTGTAAGGGTTGTAAGGTTTGTAAGGGTTTGAAGCGTTTGGAGGGTTTTAAGGGTTTGGAAGGTTTTAAGGGTTTAAGGGCTGGCAAACGGCAGGCTTGGACGCCCATCAGAAGCTATTGATGTGTGGCCTTGGGATGCCTGTTGGCTGCAGGATGAAGCATGCCAAGGGATTGTTGAAGCTGCCCATAAGAAGCCATTGATGCGTGGCCTCGGGGTGGCCATAAGAAGCCATTGATGTGTGGCCTCGGGCTGGCTGTTGGCTGCAGGATGAAGCATGCCAAGTCCTTGGGGTGCCTGTTGGCTGCAAGATGAAGCATGCCAAGGGATTGTTTAAGCGGCTCATAAGAAGCCATTCATGTGTGGCCTCGGGGTGGCCATAAGAAGCCATTGATGTGTGGCCGCGGGGTGGCTGTTGGCTGCAGGATGACGGATGCCAAGTGAACGTTTTAAGGGTTTTAAGGTTTTTAAGGGTTTGGAGGGTTTTAAGGGTTTTAAGGGTTTGGAGGGTTTAAGGGCTGGCAAGCGGCAGGCTTGGACGCCCATAAGAAGATTTGGAGGGTTTTAAGGGTTTAAGGGCTGGCAAACGGCAGGCTTGGACGCCTATCAGAAGCTATTGATGTGTGGCCTTGGGGTGCCTGTTGGCTGCAGGATGAAGCATGCCAAGGGATTGTTGAAGCTGCCCATAAGAAGCCATTGATGCGTGGCCTCGGGGTGGCCATAAGAAGCCATTGATGTGTGGCCTCGGGGTGGCTGTTGTCTGCAGGATGAAGCATGCCAAGTCCTTGGGGTGCCTGTTGGCTGCAAGATGAAGCATGCCAAGGGATTGTTTAAGCGGCCCATAAGAAGCCATTCATGTGTGGCCTCGGGTGGCCATAAGAAGCCATTGATGTGTGGCCGCGGGGTGGCTGTTGGCTGCAGGATGACGGATGCCAAGTGAACGTTTTAAGGGTTTTAAGGTTTTTAAGGGTTTGGAGGGTTTTAAGGGTTTTAAGGGTTTGGAGGGTTTAAGGGCTGGCAAACGGCAGGCTTGGACGCCCATAAGAAGATTTGGAGGGTTTTAAGGGTTTAAGGGCTGGCAAACGGCAGGCTTGGACGCCCATAAGAAGCTATTGATGTGTGGCCTTGGGGTGCCTGTTGGCTGCAAGATGAAGCATGCCAAGGGATTGTTCAAGCGGCCCATAAGAAGCCATTCATGTGTGGCCTCGGGGTGGCCATAAGAAGCCATTGATGTGTGGCCTCGGGGTGGCTGTTGGCTGCAGCATGAAGCATGCCAAGTCCTTGGGGTGCCTGTTGGCTGCAAGATGAAGCATGCCAAGGGATTGTTTAAGCGGCTCATAAGAAGCCATTCATGTGTGGCCTCGGGGTGGCCATAAGAAGCCATTGATGTGTGGCCGCGGGGTGGCTGTTGGCTGCAGGATGACGGATGCCAAGTGAACGTTTTAAGGGTTTTAAGGTTTTTAAGGGTTTGGAGGGTTTTAAGGGTTTTAAGGGTTTGGAGGGTTTAAGGGCTGGCAAACGGCAGGCTTGGACGCCCATAAGAAGGTTTGGAGGGTTTTAAGGGTTTAAGGGCTGGCAAACGGCAGGCTTGGACGCCTATCAGAAGCTATTGATGTGTGGCCTTGGGGTGCCTGTTGGCTGCAGGATGAAGCATGCCACGGGATTGTTGAAGCTGCCCATAAGAAGCCATTGATGCGTGGCCTCGGGGTGGCCATAAGAAGCCATTGATGTGTGGCCTCGGGGTGGCTGTTGGCTGCAGGATGAAGCATGCCAAGTCCTTGTGGTGCCTGTTGGCTGCAAGATGAAGCATGCCAAGGGATTGTTTAAGCGGCCCATAAGAAGCCATTCATGTGTGGCCTCGGGGTGGCCATAAGAAGCCATTGATGTGTGGCCGCGGGGTGGCTGTTGGCTGCAGGATGACGGACCAAGTGAACGTTTTAAGGGTTTTAAGGTTTTTAAGGGTTTGGAGGGTTTTAAGGGTTTTAAGGGTTTGGAGGGTTTAAGGGCTGGCAAACGGCAGGCTTGGACGCCCATAAGAAGATTTGGAGGGTTTTAAGGGTTTAAGGGCTGGCAAACGGCAGGCTTGGATGCCCATAAGAAGCCATTGATGTGTGGCCTTGGGGTGCCTGTTGGCTGCAAGATGAAGCATGCCAAGGGATTGTTCAAGCGGCCCATAAGAAGCCATTCATGTGTGGCCTCGGGGTGGCCATAAGAAGCCATTGATGTGTGGCCTCGGGGTGGCTGTTGGCTGCAGGATGAAGTGCCTGTTGGCTGCAAGATGAAGCATGCCAAGGGATTGTTTAAGCGGCCCATAAGAAGCCATTCATGTGTGGCCTCGGGGTGGCCATAAGAAGCCATTGATGTGTGGCCTCGGGGTGCCTGTTGGCTGCAGGATGAAGCATGCCAAGTCAGCGTTGTAAGGGTCTAAGGGTGTTAAGGTTTTTAAGGGTTTGAAGCGTTTGGAGGGTTTTAAGGGTTTGGAGGGTTTTAAGGGTTTAAGGGCTGGCAAACGGCAGGCTTGGACGCCCAGAAGAAGCCATTAATGTGTGGCCTTGGGGTGCCTGTTGGCTGCAGGATGAAGCATGCCAAGGGATTGTTTCAGCGGCCCATAAGAAGCCATTCATGTGTGGCCTCGGGGTGGCCATAAGAAGCCATTGATGTGTGGCCTTGGAAAGCGAAGAAGGAGCCTTGAAAGACAAAACCTTCAGACAAAACCTGCCGGAGGAAAACTTACTTGGCCAAAGCATGAAATTTTCATGTCCAAATGCCTAGAAGTCGTAACGGGAGGACGAAGCATGCCAGGACAATGTTTACATGATGTGGCCTTGCGCCGGCTGGCTGGCTGCGAGATGGGTTTGACCGTGGAAAGCGAAGAAGGAGCCTTGAAAGACAAAACCTTCAGACAAAACCTTCCGGAGGAAAACGTACTTGCCCAAAGCATGTAATTTTCATGTCCAAATGCCTGGAAGTCTTAACTGGAGAACGAAGCATGCCAGGAAAATGTTTACGCGATATGGCCTTGGGGCAGCTTGATGGCTGCGAGATGGGTTTGACCTTGGACAGCGAAGAAGGAGAAGTTCCACACCTGCGGTGGTCCCAGGCGCCGCCCCTGCCTTGGCCAAGGCCGGGGTCGGCGGATAATATATATTTAAATGATTTTAGATGGACATTTCAAAGTGACATTCTGAAACCCTTGTTGCAACAGGTGGGGCTCTTGGCAGCGGTGCGAGTGGTTCCCTCTCAACGTTCTGGAAAAGCAGCTGCCTGCGTTTTGTGCTCGACCCTTCGCTGCATGCGTTAGGTCCGTTAGGTCGTCACTGAGGGATGCGTTGGGCAGGAATTCATTCAACCGAGGGATGGGGGACATGTTTTTGGAGAAACATCTCTGCTTGACGAGGATGAGGATGAGGATGAGGATGTGGATGATGATGATGATGATGATGATGACGACCTTAATTGACCCATCTCTCTCTATCCGTCTATCCCTGACTGGGTGTGAAACCAATCATAATTTGTGGAGCTGAGCCAGGGCTTGCCACGTCTGCCAGCGCTTGACACAGCAGTCACCAGCAAAAGTGTTGTACAGCCGAGGGCTGCACTGGGCATCAGCTTCCACACTGCCGTGCATGCCAAGTGGTGCCGCCCCTTGGACCTTCGATTGGAACAGCACTGGGAGCCAGCTGCATGTTCCTTCCTGTTCCCGGTTCTCGCCCAGGTGGTGCCCCTTTCCACTTCATTAACTATCAGATCACCTACAGCATTCTCTCCGCTGTGATAGGCCATATGGATCCATATGGCATCGTATGGCATCTCAATCTTGGACACTTTCCAGCTTGTGCATGCTTGTGCGCAAGCTTTATTGCGTTTATCACTTGATCACTTCCCTTCCTGGTGCTTTTGTGATTCCAATTGGTCAATCAGTTCAATGTTTGCAGGTTTTATGATTTTCCGCTCGCAATCGTGGAAGCTGGCACTGGCTGAAGTCGAAGAGCAGGACGCAGATGGGAAATCCAGCCTCTCGGCCCAGCATGGCCCAACAGTTGCAGGCCTTGTCACTTGTGCGATGGTAGCTGGGTAAACCTTTGTGAACGTAGATTCATGCGGTCATTTACAGCTTTGTAAATTGGGGTACTTATTAGCACCAGCTAAATCCAGCTAACTCGAATTATTTCTGGATAAGTAAGTCTTTCAGATGTTTTTCAGGGGTATCCAAGAGCCAGGATCAGAGATTCCCCCACCATAGCTGCCATAGCCATAGCCATAGCACCCAGGTGGTGACGCCAGCCCGCAGAGCCAAAGTAGCACCAGGGGAAGGTGAGCCTTGTGGGAAGCCATGGGGTCTGAATGAAATACCTGGTATTACGGTTAAAACAAGTTAAAACCTGCGAAATACATCAACATGAACATAGTATAGATGTTAAACATAAATGTATATCAAAAAACAACATAAATGTATATCAACATAATCAACACATGCTGTATATCAAAATGCCATAGTTCTGTGAAGATGAACATTGGGGTGAACAGCAGGGTGCCAAGTTTTGACCCATAGCCAAATGGATGCTGAAACCAAGGAATATCGGGATCATCCAATGCTCAAATTCTTGTTGTTTTGACTATGCTTATGCCTGCAATTGAGGAGATCAATGATGTGGAGAATTTCTTTGTTTGCAATTGAGGTCATGGATGGAGCAAGTAGGAATGGTTAAGTCCTAGGTGTTGGTGCCAGAGAGGACACCCCTGATATCTGGCATGTGCCGGCAGGATTTTTGGCATCCTGAAAAACAAGGACAGCCTGGGCTCAGCAGCTGCCGAGCATTTCTAGAAAGAAGACTTGAATTTGATCAAAGTCTATATAATCGGTCAATCAGTGTGAAGAATTTCGAAGAGTACAACCCAAAGATCCTGAAGGAATTTTGTTTGCTCAACAGCCAACCAATTCTGCCAGGACTTTCCCTGGCTCGCAGCCATTTATTTGATTCCCATTGCTTATTGCTTCGCTTGGTTGGGCAACTGGCCAGTGTGTGCCACCAGTCTTGGGCTTCCTGCTGAGGCGTCCTGGATCCCAGGGGATTCGAAGACTACTTCGTGGTAAAAATTGTTAAACATGGCCGATTCTCAGGGATTCTCAGGGTCTATGTTAGTTGATATCCAGGTGGTAGAAATTTGCAGATCCATCCTGAACATTCCTGAACGACCTTTTTTTAGGCACAGACTCGCATTGGCCTCTCCGTCGGCCTGTTCTCTGCCCTGGGCCGTGTGGTCTTCGGTCTGCTGGGAGACTGGGTGCCCAAAGGAAGAGGCGCGGCAGCGGCAGCACTTCCCCAGGTGATGCCGTGCGGTGGAATTATGTGGATCTCATGATCTCATGAGATGGGGACCCACAGGCTTTATGATTGAGATGGGGTTAATATGGGTTAATTATGGTGAATTACTATACTATACAAATCGGATTCAAATCGGTATAGCTATTTATAGCATTGTATAGCTGTAATTCACTTACAGTTGGCCTACCGGTTGGAGACATATGTGACATAGCACCAAAAGAACTGATTGAACTTGCTCAGTGCTGTCACCAGGTCTGGTTGGCTTGGAGCTGGGCTTTACGGCAAGTCTAGGCCGGGGATGGGTTGTTGTATTTTGTTGTTAAAATATGTTAAAATGAGCGGAAGGATCTGGGCGGCAGAATGTGCAACGAGGAATATGCCCACTGGCTTGATGTCATTTCGGACCCTACTGCGCGGCGTTTCAGGCCTGTTTGCCGGATCCTTCCTTTTGCTGTGCAGCATCTTGGCTGCATTGCTTTATTTCAACCTCTTCAACGCTTGTAGATTGTGTGCTTATTCGCACTTCCTTGAGTTGAGAGATCAGTGTGAACAAATGGTAGGTATTTCCATGTTTGCCAGCCCTTTTGAAGTCTTAACCTCCTACATTTCAGACACTGCCTCATCAAAGCTTTCTGGCAGCCAAGTTGATCAACGGATGTTCTTTGAGGCTGCCATGCGGCACCTTGGCAAAGTCTTGAAACGAAACTGATGGGATGTTGTTAAATCCATGGTCAATCAATGTTCATTGATTATGGGTCCATTATAGATCCAATATAGATCCAATATGGATGCAATATGCTCCTTTGTTTATGACACCATGTATGACGGACCGCATGGTGACTGCTGCAACCAATGGGTGATGCGATGGGTTCACAGCCCCCAGGGGTCCCCAGGGGTCCTCAGGTTGCAATCCTTGGGCTATGGTGGGGTGCTGTGCCTTGCAGCCGTGGCTTTGCGCGCCAGCTTCAGTGGTGAGGACGTGCACAGCCATGGCCCAATGGCTAGCTGTTACCTTGTGCTCAAACATGGCTTGCTGGAACATCTCCCATTTACTTCGATGATTTTCTCCAGTGGCTCGCCAGACACGGAAGGGTATCTGCAGTATCCCAAAGAAGTCCACGAAGGACTTGGGCACTGCCTTTGGCTTTCTCTACCAGATCCTCACGGTGACCTTCATGCTCTTCAATTGGGCCTGCGTGCCATCCAGCAACTGTGAGGGTGCGGAATGCTTTAAGGACCGAGACCGAGAATGACCGGTGGTAGTCCGTGGTAATGAATGGTAATTATGCGCAAGTTGGGGATGCAAATGACATGGATGTCTTTACTCTGGTCACTTTTTGCATGAATAGTTGAATAGCTATGGCTGCCCTGGAAGAGATGCAATGTAAGATCAGGAAAACAATGGCAACCTGACCCGGAGAAAGATATCTAAGACTTCACATGACAATGAGTTTATATAGTTTGTTTTTTGTTTGGTTTGAGTTTCTTTTAAGATGGCTGTTGCTTGAAACTGAGTTTTGGAGTGAATGCTGCAAAGCCTGGACCCTGGCCGCAGGGCTTCTTCAACCTGAGTGGAGTACTGCATGTAGGCGATGTCGGACGCTCGAAGTTAGATGGATGATGGTTGTCGCATGTTGTCCCTCTATCCATTTTCCACGTCTTTTTTTCAAAGATTCTGGTTCAAAGATGGTTCAATATAGTTACTCGTTCCCCTTGGACATCTAGGATTCTGATGGATGTAGGAACCACAGAAGATATCCAACTTGCTGGGGTTGGCGGAATTTCTGGTGCGCTGCCCTGGGCAGGATGCGTCCTCTGGGGTGTCCGACGTTTGTTGAGAGCATCGAAACGTGCAGCTTTAGAGACCAAATCGCCCTAGGTGATGGTGAGCCGGTTGCGCCGGTTGCTGGTTTAGCCATGTTTAGCCTGACTTTTCTCATGTGTTCTTAGAACTGCACTGTCTACAGCAAGAATCAATTCTTGGGACCTTTGTTTTCAGGTTGGTTTGAATTTGGGAATGTACGTCTGCATGTTCGATGCTGACCTGACTCGGACTTGATTTGATTTTGGAGGGGTTGAAACTTGCAACCAGCAGAGGATTGTTTTTAAAACGTCGATGGAAAATCTGTGGTCCCTCAATGGACCCATGATCAGCCCACCAGATGAATTGCCCATTGAGAGAAGGCCATGGTTTTTTCGGTTCCAACGTGGCACTGTTGCATTCGCCGGGTTTACGGCATGTTCTTCGCTTGAGCATGATGTTTTTATTCACCCGGTTGCCACGTCTTGCCTGCTTTTCGGCAAAGGCGTTCAAGTATCCTTAAGATTCCTTAAGTAGTAGAAACATGTAGTAAGTAGTAACATCAGCAGGTGTTGCCATGCTGCCCGGTTTTGCTACACTGCCTGATTAGTACGTGACTAATACTTCGAATTCGATAGTGGGAGGTAGCCTCCGTGACGATAGATCGCCGGTTGAACCGGCACCCAAAGGTGATTGAAGTGAGTCCCTAAGATTTATTCTGGGGACATTTCTGAAGCGGGCAAGTGTCCAATCTCCAACGGATGGGCACAACTGCTTCGATGACAACGGCAAACAGATGCAAAAAGGGCAATCGTGACACATGTGCAGTGAGCCTCCTTAAAAAAGCTGTGTGGAGCCCCAGGTGAAGATTGTGGTTGGGACCCCAGGACCAGTAGATTCAGTAGATGAATGTAGATGAGGACTTACTGGGAGTGATGTCCATAGGCCTGCTGGCCATGCTTGTTGCGCCACATCCAAGGTCAAAATGTCCTTCATGGCTGGTGAGAATCCAAGGACTTCAGATCTGACAGTGCCTCAACTGACATAAACATCTTGAAAGATCCTGATGATATTCCTACTGATTCCTTGTGCACAGGACGGGAGGATCGAATGGACCGGCTGCAAAGCCTTCAGATCCTCCAAAACACCCTGGCAAGGTGGGAAGATGTGGGAAGCCTTCGGAATGCGCTGTGTCATGGGCAAGGAAGTTAGTGATAGTTGAGCAGGCCCCCACGGTGAAATATCGGAAAAGGTTGACTTGTTGCTGGCATGCGAGGCCCAACCCTCTTCCACCAGCAATTCTGGGAGCGGGCTTGAAACACTTGGGGCTGATGGGCTTCATAACATTTCAGAACTGCACCTGAATTCCTGCAGATGCTGGCAGAAAGATGTGCTGCATTGAACTGCTGGACCACCATGCAGGACAGATTCGGACAGCTCCAGTTCAGGCCATACAAATAGTTGCCGAGCAAAAAAACATGGCACTTGGCAGGTCTCACAATTCCTGATCCTACTTGATGTCAGTGTTTGTTGCAAGCAGCACATAGCCGTGAAATGCAACACATAGGTCTCAGGAACCTGTGACTTCCTGCTGAGGCAGCTCCGCTGGCGGGCCAAAAGCTTTGCTGAATGCCGCGAAGGCAAGAACAAATTGTGACAAATCTCCAGCTGACATGATCTGTGATCCTGTGATCCGGCTTTCCATCTCCATCCATCTTCCATTTACCCAGCTGCATGTCAGGCTGGTGATTTAGCCCAAGTGAGTCGCTTGTGCTGCACAATCACCGAACAAGAGAGTAATCCATCCACCCAGCAGTTGACATTTTAATTAATTAATCAGTTAATCCATCAATTGATCCAACAAAATGGTGCTGCGGTGCCCAGCCAACAGACCCCTTTGAGGTTCCCTGGTGAAGGGCGCACAGGCCGGGATGTTCGGATTTTGATGGTACTTTTGAAACATTGGCAGATAGTACAAGAATGTACAAGATACATATGCCAGATACATCCAGTTGCAAGATAGTCACTATAGATAATCATAGATAATCTATGTTAATGACATGTCATTAGTATGACCACATTCAATTATTGAACATGCTGCCATATGCTACCCGATATTTTGCCAGATACTTTGCTGCAGAAAAAGCCGAGGCGAAGGACCTCACGGCAGCGTTGCACGCGGCCTGTTCCGAGGGGCATCGCAAGCTGGTGGCGCCCTTGTGCAAAGGAAAGGCAGATGTGATGCTCGGAGTCGGTGGTGATGAACCTTCCATTTTGACAAAAGGTGATATAAAATCTGATGAACACACATATATATATAATATATAAAAATGATGTGATGAAATTCAACTATCGGTTAAGGTTTGTCCTTAATATTCCTTAATACTGTTTAGCAATTGAATCTGTGTTTATCTTTGTTTGATGTAGTAGGTTAGTCTTCAATAATGGCAGTTCAACTGAGAATTACGAATTTCACTATTCAGCGATTAGAATTTTTCAATTAAATAGTTGAATTTCTGGCCGTACCGGGCATTTTCTTGAAATTGTCACCTGGCTAAGGGGGAATCCGAGAATCCCCAATTTCAAAGAGGTAAATCATCTACTCATGGTGAGTTCCAACATGGTGTAGCTCATAGGGGACACAAAAAACCCGCCTGTTGGTTAAGGATGTTGGAGATGAAAATGTTGGGATCTGGCTTATTGGGGATATCACATATATTGGGTGCTTCTTTTGGGTATTGTAAAACACATACATATATACACACATACATTATACAAGTCCATATTTGATCAAACATATGACAGGCATTCCACTTGATGCATTCACCTCATTGAGGAACGGGCTGGACAACAGTGGCTTGACACCTCTGCACGTTGCCGCCTTCCGTGGAGACGATGCTGTCGCATGGCTTGAACCACAGCTGTGATGGGATGTGGTTTATCCCGATTTTCTTTAGGGTTTCGACATGTTTATCATGTTTCAACCATCCAAGGTGCAGGATTTTGCAACCATCCACAGTATGGTACCATATTTTTGCAGGCCACATTTTCTTACTACTTGAGATGGCAGGTGGTGCAGGCACTGTGCCAGCTCGGGGCCAATGTGAAGGCTGTGGATGAGGAAGGTTGGACACCTCTCTATGTTTCTTGGAGAAATCCAGTTGAGGGCTGGGGTGAATCGGCGTGTATAAGATTCTCATAGATTCTCAGTGCGGCTACATGCAGGTTGTTGCAGCATTCGGTGGTCAAGAAGATGTCTTCAAGACCCTGTTGGCAGCAAAATCAGATGCAACTTGCCGGCAATAAAGGAAGAGATCTAGGCTATTGCAGCTGTGAGTTTGCCCAAGAAACCGTCTTGCATTTCTTGGATCCCACATGACAACAGTCAACACACGCTGCGGGGCCGAGGCCAACTTTACAACTCCCAGTGGCACCACCATCAGCATGGCTGCAAAGCAGAAAGGCCTTGCGTTGCTCTCAGGTTTGAATCACTTGACTGGTGATTGGGAAGGGTTTTTAATCATGGCAGAAAATTGCATTTGATCAGCATTGTATCCCAGAATCAATATCATCTCAGCAAAATTCCACGAAGGACATTGAAGGACCCAGGTTTGAGGACGAAGGCGACGAAGGTGACGAAGGTGTGATGCGTAGCGTCATGGGCGTCATGTCAGGCTTTACCCAGCTGTTGAATCTCCTGTAAGATGGCGATGGCAAGTGGCGAGTCGTGGCCAATGTTGAAATGCTGGTGACTCCAAAGAAGAGTTACCCGAGAGACTTGTCATTGACAAATCATTGACAAATGCGGTGAAAAAGACAGACAGTGAAGGCACATGAAGGCACTATGGATGAAATTCTTCACCACTTGGCACGAAGGAGGTGTGTCACTAGCGGCAGGATAGCATGAAATGATATGAAATGTATTGAAATATATGAGTATGCAGGAGTTAATATGGAAGGCGCAAGGATTGTGCCCAAACTGGACTGTTCGAAGTGGGTATGCATGGCATGCTAGGGCCCAAACTCATCCAAACTCCAAGACATCATCCACTGCCTCTCGACACCTTGGCCTTGGACATCCTCAGGTGCACAGCTGCCGCAGACAAAAATGAAAAGCTGAAGATGTGGCTCCCTGAGATATCCTGAGATCCAAGCTGCCAAATCCACACTGCATCAAGTCAACCATGCTGAATATATCATAATATATCTGAACATCAATGAATCTCTTGAGCCAACATAAATCATGCTCTTGAACTTGAACCTCAAATAATTTCTGTAAGATTGCAAGATCCTACAGGATTCTAGGACGTTCAAATTCATATTGTTTGCCACAGCTAGCGAGTTCCTTGGCCAAGCTGGCTACATCTGGCTACTGCATCGCAGATGCAGGGATAGCAAGAAAAAAGAGTGTGGTGGACTGCAGCTTTTCCATCTGGAAATGACGAACTGATACGACCTGAGACCATGGGTTTGTCCATGGGGATGCTGGGATGCACCTATCATCACCAGCAAGAAAATCTTGCACCACAGTGTTTGGGGGGTACCTTACCTTTTCCGCCTTCTCAGACGAACCCTGAACAATTGCGAGGTTGTAACAAGTGCATCTAAGTGCTAGGGTTGAAATGCAATGCCATCACGATTGGGCGACATGCCGTTGCTTGCAGAGTTCCTCCTTTCAGGTGTCCAGACGCAGACGCCGGCATTTGTTTTTGGCTCGGGGTAGGTTTCAGAGGACACCAACCTCTCCTTGCGATGTCTCATGGCAGGCCTATCCACCAAATTTGTTGCAGCTGTGTGAAGCTGAGATCATGTTTCTTGTGCCCATCAGGCTGCAGGAAGGCCGTGATAGGTCATGCAACCACTGTTGCGCCTGGTTGATACCATAGCCTCCATCCAGCTTTCGTGGGGCTGGACGGGATGGACTGGATGGACTGAAGTCCTGGACAATCAATTGCGTCCAGGCCATTTCCTTCTCCGAAGCCTTCGCTCACAGCTTCAACCTGCTATGCTGCTGGACTTATGGTCATTCAGTTGATTCGGTATTGCAGATGGGAGGGTGATTTTGTCGTCAAATGCGGGTGTGCTTTGAAGGTTTGCTTCCCTGAGTCCTTTGCTTCTTGATGGTGGAGTGCATTTGAAATTTCATGAAATTTCAGATCCTGCTGCGACAGACACAAACCTCAAAACTAGAAACTAGTGACCTGCTAGTGCCTCTCGTTCTGAGGAAAAGAGCCCTCAATCTTGGAGCAACACATCCTACAGCAACTCTGGCAGACAAGCAGAATCTTGTTCACAGTGGCGTTGGCGGTCTTGTCACCACTGGTTGCTGGAAAAGCCTTGTCATTTTTAGCACACAAAATGAAGGCACGGCAAGGTGCCTAAAGATCGGTTCCATAATGACAATGTATATTAAATTATATTAATGTATATTATAAACTATAAATAAGCGATATAATTTATATATAAATATATATAGTTATAAAAGTTATATACTAAATACTAATTAAATGTTATAGCTGTGTGCTAAATGTTATTAAGAATATTAAGATTTATAAAGGGTGAACCATGCGAACCCAAGGATTGCCCTTGGTTCCAGGAGTGTTTTCTCAATGGATATGCTTCAGGCACTCTATCCATGGACACGATGCAGCGCCAGGCCCAAACACATCACTTCGTTTCAGAATGTTTCAGATGTCGTGGTAATGTGCTGAACATGTGCTGACAATGTGGTAAAACCATGTCAAAACGATGTGGTTAAAGGAGCTTGGCGAGGAGCGTTGTGCAGGGAGCAAGTTTCACGCAGATTCTGTTTTTTGTGTGCACGGATTGCGGCACAGGCTATGGCTACGGCATCCACTCCACGTCTGAGCCGGTTTGGTCGCCAAGCCTGAGAGATTTCAGACACAAATCATTACAACCGTTTTTTTGGGATGCAGCTGCTGCACTGCTCCACCGCCAAACAATATTAAACAACACATTAATCATCTACATCACGTGCAAGTTGCCCAGCCCTTCAGATGTTCTTGTTTTCCCCTCTTGCAGGTGCACTAGCCCAGACTTCCCCGGACGACAAGAAGGAGAGTGAAGCAAACCTTCCTGGGACGCCCAACTCATGAATGTAATGTTTCCATTCAGGCATAAGAAGCGTAAGAAGCCAGCTGTTGGTGCGTGGAAGTCAGATCCTGGTCCGACCTGATGGCCCTCCAAAGCCTTCCGGCTGTCCAATGCTTTCCCGCGGTTTTGCACAGGACCGTCACGAACTTCATCGGAGATCTCGTCAGCAGCCCACAGCAGCATTTTCGAGGAGTCTTGCTGCCAGTGGGAAGACAAGTAGCAGTTTAGGCCAAAAAGTTTTCCATAGTTTTCCATTTTTCTCTGATTTTTCTCGGATTTTCCAGATTCCATCAGATCCTGGCAAGTCTTCAGCATCAGCATCTTCAGCCATTTTACGGTGACCAAACTCCACCAGGCCCCCAGATATGCCAAAGCCCCGGCTGCTCCGTCGGCGCACCGATGGCGATATGCCCTCCACCTTCCACTTGCAGATCCCCTCCTTGCAGTCTGGCTTGGCAGGCCCAATAGCTTCGGCAACGCGAAGCAAACATTCTAAAGCCTTGAAGAGACCTGGATTTTGTTGATGAGATCTGATGAGTTTGTTCTATTGTAATTTTTTGGTATATTTTGTTGATTTTCCGTTGTTGTTTTAGTATACTTGTGTATACTGTGTATTCTGGGTCCTCTTCAGAAAATCTAAGGAGAGGAGGCTCCAATCAGATGAACCTTCGGCCCATGCCATTGCTGCCATACCAACGTGCAGTAGAAGTTCAGGTTCTTCCTGAGATTACGAGCCCCGAATCCTTCAAGGTTGACGTGTCCGTGCCAGAGATTTGTTTGCCAAATCCCAAGGTCTTGCTGCGCCGCAGCACCTTGCCAGCCTTGGACATCAATAGTGAGGCCTTGATGCTTTCGCGCCAGTTGCATCTCGACTTTCACGAAGTGAAATTTGTTTTGCAAGAGCTCCGCAGTGAGAGCGAACACCTTCCCAATGGTGGCTTGGAATATGGAACTTTCCAGCAGTGCTTGCAACGCATTTGTGGTGTGGAGCTGGAAGAGCAATGGGTGGTGAAAGCCTACAAGGAATGTCGTGCCAGTGAGGGCCCGGTGGACTCAGAACAGCTGCTGATTTGGTACCGGGATCACATCTTCAACCTCGAAGCCTTCAAGTCGCAAAAACACTTCGCGGCCGAGAAAAGTAGAGCTCCACTGGTGACGCTAGACCTGGCCAAGAAGTTTCACTGCTCCTGCCTGGATTTGGACAAGATGAAGGTGAAGTTTGACGACTTTGATTTGGACAAGTCCGGCTTCATTGATCACTATGAGTTTGAGAAGATGATGTACCAACTCTTGCACTGTTCTAGCGAATCTGACTTCCCCAAAACGCGGCTGGACCGCTTCTGGAACGAGGCTGACAAGAATGGTGATGGCCAAATTGATTTCGAGGAGTTTTTGGAATGGTACATGAAATACTTCGGCACCTCCTATGAGAATGGCCCCATGGATGCCTTCTATGCATCATTTATGCCAGGGGTTCAGAGGTCCAGCAGCCTTGGGGAGCTCAAAGTCCACAAAGTCCAGGAGAAGATCAGCCTCAAACCCATCGTACCCGAGGTCAGCAGTCGCTGCTCAGCGCTCACTTTTTCAAAGTTCTGAGGAGTCTGAGCAGTGCTTTGGCAGATATGCAATGATGTGCAAACAGCTGCATCATCTGGCATCGCCAGGAACTGACATTTTCGGTGAACAATGGGGGCAGATGGTCCAGATGGTCCATATGATCTCCTAGATGGATTCAATTTTGGTATTCATATGTTTTCATATCCATGACGCAGAGACGTCGAGGTTTCATTTTGGCTGCATTGGGCATCCCTGTGTCGCTATGTGTCGCTGGGATTGGGGTGGAGCCTTCTGCACTTAGATAGGTTTCAACTCAAAACAATGCAGATTTTGTCAGCCGTAGCCTGGTGACCTTGCTCATGCCTTTTCGATTGGGCTTGCAAATGCAAGCTCCCATGCATGCGCGTTTAACAGATGCCACGGGCTGGTTCGCACGCGCTTCTTTCTGTGGAGCTTGCGTGAAAAGTTTGCAGCTGCACATCCTTTTCGGAACGCTCGAGTGTTCAAATTTAGTCACAGCTGCATAGTTTAGTTTAATCATGTTTAATCATAATTTAGCTCGGCTCATGTCAGGGATGTGCTCTTGCAGACTTCCATTGCTAGCTTGCAAGGACCCGACGGCTTTCGGTGCTGCCAAAGGTCTTGCAGGCAGGGGGAAACATTTTTTTCGTTTGATTCTTTTGATGGGAAGGGTGTCAAGTAGAATCGATAGAAACAAGATAAAAAGATGACAGCAGACATCCAGAAAATATCAGAAAATCAGATCTCAAATGGAACATATAGAACCCCCGTGATCCCCTTCACCACCATTTGTGCGAAAAAGGCCCCTTGATGCGGGAACCTGTACCTGCTGCGCGGCACCTTGGCTCAGCCGGTCGCTTCAAAAAGATGGGACCAGCGCTGGCACTCAGGATTCCAAGGCCGTCCGTGTCATTGCTCGAACTGGAAGCGGAGTTGGAAGCCTTGTATCGTTACACAATGGCACCTCACGTGTGGACAGGGCAGAAACTTGGCTTGAGGTCTGCCTAGGGTTTCCCTCTTAATGATCTGAGTGAGCCGCTGTAAAACGTGCCTTTGCAATCCTCCAAATGTCCGGAAAGTAATATCAGTGTATCAGTGTGAATGTCATGACCGGCCCCGAGTAATCAAACACCGGGCTGCGCGTAAGCAGCACATAAGGTTTGGCCCTGATGGAACTGATGGAACCTGCAAGACTTGATAATCCTCTCCCCCCAATACTAAACTGGGGTCCCCCACAATAATAAACAGCTGGAGGAGTTTTAGTATTAGGAGGTATTTAATATTCGAAGGAAGTTTAGAAGTCAAACTTCCGACGGTATGGACAGATGAAAAGCAGGGCAGGGAAGAGGCAGAGAGAAGAGAAAGATTAGAAAAAAGAAGAGTAGAAGAGAAAGAGTAAGAAGAAAGAAGATGCAGATGCGCGAAAAGGTAGGAAAGTCGCGAAACACTGTGTTTTTCCAATGATTTGGGGCTCCGGAGGGTCGAAAAGTAGGCTCGCTAAAGCGGCGGGTGCGGAGCCAGCTGGCCAGATGAGAGATGAAAATTTGCACGCCGTTGTGGCGCGAAGCACATTTCCAAGTCAAAATGTACAAAACACACCAGGTCCGGACCACTTTTGGAAGTTAAGATGTTGAAAAAGCGCACGCCGTTGTGGCGCGAAGCACATTTCCAAGTCAAAATGTACAAAGCACACCAGCGTCGGACCACTTTTGGAAGTTGAGATGTCGAAAAAGTGCACGCCGTTGTGGCGCGAAGCACATTTCCAAGTCAAAATGCACAAAACACACCAGGTTCGGACCACTTTTGGAAGTTCAGATGTCGAAAAAGTGCATGCCGTTGTGGCGCGAAGCACATTTCCAAGTCAAAATGTACAAAACACCACATGTTCGCGCCACTTTTGGAGGTTCGGATGTCGAAAAAGTGCACGCCGTTTTGGCGCGAAGCGCATTTCGAAGTCAAAATGTTAAAAGCACTAGGGTTCGGACCACTTTTGGATACTTTTGGAGGTTCAGATGTCGCTTCGCTTCGCTTCACTACACTACACTACACCACATTACCCTACACTACGCTCCACTACACTACACTACATTACACTACACTACACTACATTACACTACACTACATTACACCAGACTACTTTCCACTACACTTCGCTACATGACACTAAACTACATTCCACTACACTACAAATACAACTACAACTGCACAACTACACTCCACTACACTCCACTACACTACACTACACTACACTAAATTACACTACACTATGCTACATTACACTACACTACACTTGACTACGCTACATTACACTACACTACACTCCACAACGCTACAACTAAAACTACAGAACTACACTCCATTACACTCCACTACACTAAATTACACTACACTACATTACATTACACTACACTACACTCCACTACACTACACTACACTACATTACACTACACTGCACTACCTTCCACTACACCTCACTACATTACTCTACACTACACTCCACTACACTACAACGACACCTACGACTACACAACTACACTCCACTACACCCCACTACGCTAAATTACACTAAATTACACTAAATTACACTACTTTACATTCCACTACACTCCACTACACAACATTGAACTACATTACACTGAATGACACTGCACCACAGATAGACAGGTAGACAGATAGACAGACAGACAGACAGACAGATAGATAGATAGATAGACAGATAGACAGGTAGACAGCTAGACAGATAGACAGATGAGAGAGAGAGAGAGAGAGATAGATAGATAGATAGATAGAAAGATAGGTATGTAGATAGATCGATAGATACATAGGTAGATAGATAGGTAGGTAGGTGGGTAGGTAGGTAGATAGTCAGAGAAAGAGAGAGAAATAGTGAGAGAGATCAATCACCTTGCGCTCCATCAGGATTCACTCTGCCATCCCTGATTCACAACAACCAATCTCTCCTATAGGTTTCCTATTTTTGAATATTTAAGGGCTGCCGCCCCTGCCGCCGACCCCGGAAGTAACTCGTGGTGCCAGCTAGCAAGAGAAAAAGTGAGAAATATGTAAGGCAAGGAAGCTACGGCATTGTACACGTCCTCCTAAAAGATGCAATACCATTGAGTAGAACTCTCCACACTTCCTCTTTCAAGTGCCCCAACAACAGAAAGTGTTGTGTCCTTGTAGGCAGCGAGGCATGTTTAAGACTCTCTAAGTGTCATTCTGGTCTGATTTGGACGTGTTGCGAGTGTCATCCAATGGCAATGATAAGAATCTCACCTTGCTCATTTGGTCCAGTGTACATCGATCGATTGGAACAAAATACAGCAAATCTCCGGAGAGGAATTTAGCGGCTGTTTCGGCCGTGCTTGCTGTGCAATTTCTGGTCCGAAAGTGTTTTTATTGACGCTGGCAGTGGGTCCCCCGCGCGGAAGCTCAGACTAGAAAAGTTGGTGACCGGGTAATCAAAAGATGGTAAAGTGGTAGCTTCAGTGGTAACCTTGGTAACCTCGATAAGAAGTATAAGTATGTGTACTGTATAGTGTAACATCAGATGCATCAAGACCTTTGTGCTTGCAGTGCTCGATCATAGAAATTGTCTGTTTGCCTCAAAGTGGGTCTCGTTTGGCAATGATGTTGAGACAGGTTGAGAAATGTTGAGACGATGGTTTGTGGTAAGACTTGTCTTTCAAATTGCTCGTTGGCTGCGCCTCTGTGTCTTGTTGGTTCGCGGATCTCGCATGTGACAGATTGCCATTGCTTACACTTATGTGGTCACATCGTGTGCAAACTCGTTTTGAGGTGCAGCGCAGAACGGCATGACCAACACAGATCGAACGGGCGGGTCAGACGAGGACAGCCGGAGGTATTGATTTGACAAACTTGTTGCAGAGTCAAGTTGCAACAGCCAGAGGTTCAGAGGACCTCCCTTGGAACATACATAGATAGATAGATAGATAGATAGATAGAGAGATAGAGAGATAGATAGAGAGATAGAGAGATAGATAGATAGATAGATAGAGAGATAGAGAGATAGAGAGAGAGATAGAGAGATAGAGAGATAGATAGATAGATAGATAGATAGATAGATAGATAGGTAGGTAGATGAAAATCCCCCATTTCTCCATGATCCGACTAGAAGTCTCCATTTTGATTGGGGATTAGCCAGCCATCTGTGATTTCGTGATGCCCACTAAAAATCACTGGTATGGCTGGGAGAAGGTATCCCTGACAGTTTTTATTGTGTAATTCCGAAGGTCTTGCAGGTTAGTTCAACTCTGCCCCCTGTCGACTGTAAACCTAATCTTCCCAAAGCAGCTGTCGCCCACGTTTTTTCGCTGGGTGCAGGTATGAAGTGTAGATATTGGCCAGCTCTTGTACGAGTTGAAACCTCAGCAGTGACTAGTTGACTCTGAGTTGCTTCATGATATAATTCTTGGAAGAAGAGAGAATTAAAAGACACATCCGAGTAAAATAGTGATAAGTTCCGTTTCCATCTTTTTTGCAATTTGTGTTGGCAAGTATCATAATCCAACTGCAGAGAGTGGTGAAAGTCTTGTCTTGAAGCACGATCCATGGCTGTTTAGAAAGTATAGAATTGAGAGCATCAAATGCAGATCTCATGTATAAATGTCAGCTTGTGATATCCAGCTTGAGTACAGATAGATAGATAGATAGATAGATACATAGACGTGTCTAGTGCAAGTGCATTTGGCTCTAGTGTTGTTTTCAGAGTGGCGTGGATTGTATGGCGTCCGTCGGGTATACTGTGCATTTAACGGCACCACGATGCTTGGAAAGTGGTGCAGCGCATCGTGAAGCTGCTGAGATGGTACGAGAGGTACTCAGCGCAGGGACGGACGTTGCTTGGTGGGAATAGAAGTTTAATGAAGTTTATGATGTTTGATGTTAAGGGTTAACAGTTAATGCTGGTGACAGTCCGGCTGTAAAAGAGACGTCTGTGAACGGTTTTTGTGGTGCTGAGAATCAACAGGGGGCAGGAAATTGGATCTGCTTGTAAGGAGTGCATCATCAAGATCCGTGCTCGCTCCCGGCGATTAGTCTATGTGGTTTCAGTGCAGGCGAGCACGGTCCTAGAAGAGGAATTGGGTCGCTTGGGCGAAGTCAAGAAGCTCGACAGTGAAGATCAGAAGGAACAGGTTGCTTGACAGACAGTAGCAAGGGTAGAACAATTTTGTGAGGTGGTTTCAAGTAGTTTTCAGTGTGTTTGGATTTTGACAGGTTAGAACAATTACTTTGTGCTAGGTGGCTCACGACGCAGAGTTCAAGAAGGCAAAGGAAGGACAGATGTCGAAGGCTGCGAAGATGACAGAAGCACATGGCCAGATGCTGAATACGCTATTGCAGATGCGGGGCAGTGGTGTCTTGTTTGCATCAAGAAAGGTTTTTGAGAGTGAGTTTTGCCTTGGCGATTACAGTTTGCATTTCTAGTGATGTGCTTTTGTCGGGAAAGTAGACACCAGATTCGATTGCAGGGCAAACCTTGGAAGGGGCTGCTGCCTCAGCTGCCACGAGCCGCGACCGCACCGAACTACCTCCAACTGTGCCCGACCAACGAGAAGGTGCAGCCAATGATAATGATAAGAAATTGCTAGGAAAGCCGATTGATGAAGCAGGTGCGGCCAAGTCAACAAAGACTCATGCAGAGCGAAAGCACTGCGACCCAAAAAAAGTAGGCGTGGCTGCAGCGAAAAAAACTGCACCGAAGGTCGCAAAGAAACCAAAGCAAGTAAGCACACAGCGGGGAAAGCACCAGTTCCATTCCAGTGCGGCCAGGAAGGTAGACGTGGCAGTGCCTCTGCGCCGGGTGCGCCGAAAAACATCACCAGGCTCCTTGAAGGAAGGCGCAATGTCAGGGGGCATGGCAGCAGAAGACATGGGAACGAAACCAACCGAGGACGATGATGGCGATATCTATCTTTTGCGGCTGTGGAAGCCTTCTCAGGGGAATCAAGATCCACGTGCAGTTTATGATGCAGTAAGACAGGAGGTAGCTACGCTGCTATCCGACAAGCCCACCTTGCCGGAACACTGTTGGAGAGCAGTCAATCCGCTGAAAGCATATGACTTACCTGATTTTCATTGTGCTTTTCGTACCTGCAGGTACGAGTGTCTAACGCAAAAGGAGCTGGCAGAACACATCACCAACCAGCACGCAGACGCCTTACAGAGTTTATCGACGCATTGGCGACCGCAAGTCTCTGAACCGAAAGCAACCCTGCAAGCGTATCACGAGATCTTAACCTGGCGCTGTCAACAACTGGCACCCATTGCCAATTGCTCTATTGACCGGCGATGCTTACGCAGACTGCGGCTGAACTTGCGCGGCAAACAAGTCGGTGCCGCAATTTGTTTTATTTGTGCCCGTAGGTACCCTTTCGTGCAAGATTTCCCAAATCAAGAAATTAGGTGGCAGCGCGCTTTTGACCAAGACACAGGGCAGTTTTTTGGGCAAAGTGCAGAAGATCTTGAAAAAATGCTAGGGTTCCACACGTACCATGCCCGTTATGTCTCTACCCTCCCGGCCGACACACAGATGAATTTGCAACCAGAACTGGAACAGTGGACGTGCAACATGTCTTGCCCTTCCTACACGATTCGTGTGGTTGCATGTCCCGAAGACAAAACTTGTTATAGGCGTTGTTCCCGGGAGTCTGTGTGCACGTGCTGTGAAGTTCCAATTTGTTTCTCTTGTTGGAAGTATGTGTATCGACAGAGGAGCAAACCACCAGCAGCATTAAGCAACGATATGCTCCTCGGACATCCACCGCGGGAGATCTATGCCGAAGAGTGCACCGTCTTAGAACTATTGTGTGCAAGTCCTTGCCTGACTGCTCTGACCTGTTTTAGCATTGAATGGCGTTACTTGCAAGATCGGAGTTTAGCTCAAGATGCATTTATGAATCGGCACCGCCTATGCGCTAAAGGCAATGCGACGACGTTTCCGTTGCCATGGGAAGACCTGCTGTCCGAATTCCACCGTTTAGACAACAACCTTGCATCAAACACGACTGCCTGCTTACCGCACGTAGGCAAAGCATTAAGTGACAAAATCGCTGTCATAATAAAAATAGGAGACAAGAAAGACAAAGCAGCGATGCGTCAACACATCATTCACCAAGCAATTGTGCGTCGTCGTGTCGTTGTGAGATTAATCGCAACAATGGTTGCGCGAAGCCACCCTGCTTATAAAGGAATAGATATGACACTCGTGGAAGCACGGGCGGAAATGCTACCAGAAAATGACGTTCCCGCCGAAATCATTGCCTTATTGGACAACGATGGGAGTCTGAATCATGTCTTGCGGCAAAAAGCAGCTACGCCCGTCAATGACCAAATGTCTGAAGAGCAAGCTAGTTGTGAGTTCGGACGTTTGCTGAAACCGAACGCTGTCGTTCTAGAGAAAACAACTGCTGGATGTCACGATCTAAATGCGCAACACGTGTCTGCACTGGAAGAAATCGTGACCCGCAGTCTACCAGCGTCCGCGCAGCCGCTTCCAGAAGTGACACTGTATACAGGCACCAAACTTTTGGATCAGTTTCAGCCGCTTTACTTTGCTTTAGCTTTTCCCTTTGTCTTCCCCTATGGCATTGGTTTGCCTGATGTGCCCCAGTGGAGCCAACGGAAACGGCTTCGACGTCACCCGGACGATCCGCACGTCGAGCTAAATACATGGGTCAAAGTCATGGCGCGACGCATCGAGGCGCAAGTCAGTCGTGATTGGGTTTGTGGCTTTACGTCGTGGAACCTGCTTTTTCGATCAGCCTTGAATCTGTCCCGGACAACCGATGCATACTCGCGCAGTTTTTACGATGAAGAGACGCAAGAATGGGTGCAGCCAACTGGAAAGCATGTGGAGCAAGCAGCACAACAGCTGTTGGTAGCTCTGAAGGGATCTTATATAGATGTTACAGGTCAACCGCGTCCAGTCAAAGGAGATGTTTCCAAACTCAAATATGTGCAAGGCCTGAAACCGATGGCGCGGAAATTGCTCACGAACATGCGACACACAGCGCAAGGGTTACCAGGGACCCAAGAAGCGCGAAAAAGAATGCGATTCGAAATCCAGGCGATGCGAATTCGGTATGGAGTACCATTGTTTGTCACCTATACGCCAGATGAAGCACATCAGCTGCTCTTTGTTCGCATGACACGCGTTCAAGCATCTGATCCGGTACGCGCTGCATCTGTCGCGCAAGATTTCCCAGCCGGCGACATGTTTTTCCCTGACCTCGGCAAAACAAGTGCGGGGACACCTGGGCCATTTGAATATGAATTCACGTTACCAATGTCTTGGGCAGAGCGTCGGGAAGTTCTAGCAAGGGATCCTCTAGCTGCAGTGGATGGTTTTCGCGCGCTCACACATTTAATGTTGAAGCACCTTTTTGGTGTGCGTATTTGTCCGTTTTGTCCTGATTGCAATCGCTTCCCTGGATTAGAGCCGTGTCAAGACCTACGCGGAAGCAATGCAGAGACAAGCGGCGGAATTTTTGGGCGCGTAGATGCAGTCTACATTTCCTTAGAGGCGCAAAAGAGCACAGGTGGCCAGCACGGGCACATGCAAGTTTTCGTTCAATGCCTACACCAGCATACCTCATTGGCAGACATTTTTAAATTGTCAGCTTCACGCCTGGACGCTTTGCGTCGCGAATACGAAGCATACAACGCCCACGTGTGCCACGCAAGCTATGCGGGTCAGTCGTCCGCTGGTATGGAGGCGCGAATTGTGGATGCTGAAGCGTCGTGGCCGTCGCATGAGCATGATACTACTATGACCGCGTTGCCCGACTATGTTTTGCGTCGTGCTGCGGCAGCAGACGATCTAGAAGCAGAGGCGACCGAATGGCAAAAACAGTACTTAGAAAACGACGTCGTCCAATTGCAGCTTCTAAAGCAGCATCACTACCATCCATACAATGAAGTGACGCAAGCACGCGTTCCACTAGCAGGCTGCCAAAAAAGCGATCGGCCCGGATTGTGCAAGAGCGATTTTCCTCGCACCCAGTGGCTCTGCTCCGAAACAACCGTGTTATGCCCCTGCAAACTACAGTTGCATGGTATGCCTGTGGGCGGAAGGAAAAATCGCTTAGGAGCTTTGCATGGTCCTTGCGGCCACGAGTGGTTGAATGGTTGTGCGCCAGCAATGTTAGCTGGATTGCGCGGTGTCAATTGCGATGTCCAAGTCCCATATCGACTACCCTACGCATGTCCAACCTGCGGAGACACCCTTACGACGCAAGAACGTCACGAGATTTCACGTGCGGCGCAAAGGGCGCAAGATGCACAGACAGGGTATTGTGCCGATTATTGCTCCAAAAGTCAGCCTATGGGACACGGAGAAATCAAGGAATTTCAGAAAGGACATGAACAGTTGTATGCGCAACACGGTTGGAAATGTTTAGACGATGTGGGTAAGCGACATGCAAATCGATTTCTGAGTGATGCATACCTAAAAGGTGTAGTGCGTGGGCAAGTAGAATGCTGTAACTTGCGCGCGCATCACCGCGAACATGCAGTAGTTGCAGCTGAGCGCATTGCCACAACAACGTTTGAAAGTTTCCCTGGAGCTGCATTCGCCGAGTTCGTGGCTATGTATCACAGTGAAGCAGCGAGCGCGTCAGCAACCAAGCGCACCACTACAAAGTGGACACGCCGACAGGCCTCTGGCGTCCGACATCTCGGTGCCGTCGACATCGTGCAAGTTTACGGTCACCGACCTGCTGCATCCGAAGTGTGGTGGTTGTCGCCGTACGAATTTGTTGCCGAATGGGCAGTCACGCTTGCCCGTGTGCCAACGACACAACGTGAATGGAATCACGAAGAGAAGTCAAGCTGGGATGTCACGTTGACACCAGCGGGTATTCAAGAAATGCAGCGACAAACGGACCCAGATAAGAAAATACAGTTGCAACCGGAACGCGATTACCAGCTGACAGTGCCATGGACACCCAATCGCATTGGTTTACAAGAGACCACCGCAACCAAACAGCTGCGACATCGTTGCTATCTCCAACGGCGTATTCGCCCATGTTGCCCGCACTTTGAGAATTCGCCCGTTCCTCTGCAGAAAGAAAGCCCACGAGAGGCCAACGCAAGATTGACGATAACCTATTTTCGAGCATGGACATTGCAAGCATCTATGGCGTCGGGAAACGTCCCATTTGTCGGTCGTTTGAAAGCGGCTGAAGCAACTTGGGTTGATGCATTGCGCATGTGGTTGACGCATCTCCCATGCGAAGAGACAAAACGGTACGTCGGTAACTTTCTTTCCGTGTATCGCGTACGCCCGAGCGGCGCAGAAGACGCAAATAGTGATGACAGTGGCGTGGATGAGCCATTGCTCGTCACTCCGACAACACTTCCCACCGCACTACAAACATCTTTTCGAAGAACGGGACAACAACGAGCGTCGCGCACCACGGACCTGCCAAAAGATGCCGACACCAGACTTCTTGCAAGTTACGAAGAAGCTGCGGCACGAGCGGTAACGACGTGGCAGCACTATTCCCGCTGCGTAGCGAATGACACCACAAGTAATCCGTTTGCAGCGCACGATCCGAAAGCGATTCGAAGAGGGTTGAAGGCTTTAGAGGGCAAACGCAACAATGCGAACGTAAAAATGACCCAGGACTCGCGGCCGAGCGTGTGTGAAATCGAAGCACGAGAGACAAGAGAGAAAGTCGACCAATTTTGCCAAGAGTTACGTCAGACAAAGCAATGCAACCCAGAGCAGCTATCCTTCATTGAAACCGTTTGTGCCCGGGTCAAGCACGAAGCAGCCACGGGGCAAGATCGCGGCGGGGCAGCCGAAACGAACACGGAGGCTCTTCGTTGGGCATTGCACGGCGGGCCGGGCACGGGCAAATCGTACGTGCTGAACATATTGCGGCGGGACTTGTTCGAAAAATGTCTTGGCTGGACGCCAGCCAAAGAATTTCAAGTCGTTGCGTTCCAAGCTGTGAATGCTGAACCCTTGGATGGTGAGACAATCCACAAAGCTCTCGGGCTGTCGTGGCACGGCAACGATCACAACGTGGCTGGGCAACGGATTCTGGACTTGGCACGCCAAGCCGTGCAGTGGCGCTGGCTTCTTCTCGACGAAATCAGCATGGTGAGTGCTGAGATGTTAGCGCGGCTCGAAGCCCGCTGTCGCCAACTTGTCTTAAATATATCTGCCACAAAATATGGCCAACGCACCCCTACTTGCGTTGCGCCTTTCGGTGGCCTAAATGTTATTCTGTCTGGCGACCTGTGGCAGCTACCTCCACCACGTGGAACGTTTCTCGGGCAAATTCCATGGCACCTTGTGACAGGCGTTCCATGTAAGAAGTTGCCACTAAGCTTGCAAGGCCAGCAGCTCGTATGGACTTCTAGAGCGCAAGGTGGCCTACAAGGAGTTACGGAACTAACACGGTGCGAACGAACGCAAGATGTCTGGTTACAGCAGCTGCAAGCCGAACTTCGCGTCGGACGCTTATCCGAAGACAACCATGCATTCCTACATGGCCGCCCCACAAGAGTTCCGGGAAGCTGGTGCGCAACAACTCAACAGCCTACCTGCGGAGAAAATATATGCCATCGCTTGTACAAGAACGGTTCCACACCGGCAGCAATTCTCAAATACGAATGTGCAGGCTGCCGCGCCGAACGAGAAAGTAAGCGTTTGGTTGCGGTGGCTCCAGACGATCCTCGGTTTGCCGAGGGTTTCAGCTTGGCCCGAGGAATTTTCCAGACGAACGGGGTGAAGTGCCACGTAAACAAACTTCGCGCGGAACAATGGGCGCGACAGCGTGGGCAGGTCATCTACTATGCAGTGGCTACGGACAAAGTCTCATCACGAGCATTACACGAGAAGCCCGACATCGCCCACGACAAGCTCACGTGGCTGCAGCGCAGCGACGCCGACTGCGGTAACCGGTACGGCGTCCTTCCGCTGTGCATTGGTATGCCAGTGCAAGCGCGAGAACATCTCTACCGAAAAGAGTTCAAGATTTTGAAAGGATGCCATGGAACAGTCTGCGGGTGGTCTCGCGTCGAAACAGAAACAGCATCGGCAGACGGAACAGTAATTTGGAACAAACTTCCCGAGTATATCTTTGTGCGTTTTGAAACGCGCACACGGTGGACTATCCCAGGCATCGATCAAGAGAACGTCTTTCCAGTCAGCGTGCAAAGCGGACTGTGGTTTTTGGACGCGGGCCGCGCTAACCCACAATTGAAAGTGACGCGTTATCAATTTCCCATCGCGCCCGACTTCGCTGACACGTTCTACGGCGCGCAAGGCAGCACAATAGAGCCGGGCGTGATCGTGGACATGATCGGTGCAGACCCAATAGCGGCTTACATTGGGATGACGCGCTGCCGCACACGGCAGAAGATCTTGATCTACCGACCGTTCCCGCTGGCCCCTTTTCAAGAGGGCCTTCCGCTCGGACGGCAACTTCTTCTTGACGTGTGGAAGCAGGAGCCGGTGGACTGGGACGCGTTGCGCAAGAAGTACTTAGATGAAAGGCCATGCCAAGAGTGTGGGGAGATGAAACGTAAAGACGCCTTCACTAAAGCACAGTGGAAACAGGAAACCTACCGCGTCTGCAAAGAATGCACCGCGCGGAAGCGCGAGGCAGGCACACCCTACCGCTGCACACAGTGCGGCCTCTGGCACGCTGCATGCCACTTTGCAAGCAAGCATCAGAACCCTCGGTGGAGCATGTATCGAGTGTGCTCGTCGTGCGATGCGAAGAAACAATGTGGTGTCTGCCAAACAAAGAAAACCAAAGAGTATTTTAGCGCCGCGGCGTGGAAAGCCAGCAAGCTTGAGCGAAGAGTGTGCTTACAATGCCAAACAAAGACGCGGGGTCATTGGACATGCGCCCAATGTCAGAAACGCCTGCCAACGCAACAGTTTTCAACCTTTTCCTCAAAGCGCCCTTCCAGTCAAGATGGCACTCAGACATGCAATGCCTGTTGCACGGTGCTGACACAGGCTGCTGTGCGCAAGCGTGCTGCCATATCCAGCACGTTGCGGCTCGAACCGCTCCGCAAAAGGCTGCGTCAAACTCAGATTTTGCGCGCCACCTGGGAAGCAATCGCGTTGCACCGACAAAAACATCATCCACCTGTGACTAGTGCACAGCATCACGTCGCCCCAGCCGAGGATGTCACAACAAAAGCCGAAGTGCCACAGCAACAGAAAAGTAATAGCCCAATGCAACAGTTGTATGCATACCAGTGTCCATATTGCCAGCGGCAAGTGACCAGCCATGTTGCAACAGGTCAAGTTGAAGCACCGGGACAACACTGTGGGACACGTTTTCGCGTGCACGATGGAGAAGTGAGTCGCCGCTTTTTCCATAGTTGCCCTACATGCAAACAAAAAGTGCCAAGCAGTAAGCCCCTAGGACAAATAAGGGTATCGCATAAAAAACCAAATGGGAAAAAATGCCCCACAGAATCATGGCAAGTAAAAAAGCCTTAAGCTCTTACAAGGTCTTACACCACTCGAAAGACTGAAACGCCATCTACTTTCGCACCGAACGCGCTGCAAAAGCGACCGGGAAAAGTGCCTAACGTTGCTTCTGAAACCCTAGAAAAAAAAGATCTTTTGCCTGCCTTTGTGATAACCGTCCTGTCGCGTCCTGTCGCTTTGACGTCACCTGCAACAACTCGACTCATGGCCACCACTCGAAATGCTGAAACGCCACTTAATTTCGTGCCCAAAATGCCTAACGTTGCTTCTGAAACCCTAGAAAAAAAATTGCCTGCCTTTGTGATGATCGTCCCTTTGTGATAACCGTCCTGTCGCGTCCTGTCGCTTTGACGTCAGCTGCAACAGCGCGACTCATGGACACCACTCGAAACCCTGAAACGCCACCTAATTTCGTGCCCAAAACGCTCCAAAAGTGACCGGGAAAAGTGCCTAACGTTGTTTCTGAAACCCTAGAAAAACAGAACTTTTGCCTGCCTTTGTGATAACCGTCTTGTCGCGTCCTGTCGCTTTGACGTCAGCTAGCTGCAACAGCTCGACTCATGGACACCACTCGAAACGCTGAAGCGCCATCTTATTTCGTGCCCACAACGCTCCAAAAGTGACCGGGAAAAGTGTCAACGTTACTTCTGAAACCCTAGACGTCAGCTAGCTGCAACAGCTCGACTTATGGCCACCACTCGAAACGCTGAAACGCCACCTAATTTCGTGCCCAAAACGCGCCAAAATCGAGCCCAAAAAGTGTCTAACGTCCCTTCTGAAACCCTAGAGAAACAAGAGTTTTGGACAAGGTTTTATAGTTTTCGACCAATGCCCAAAATGCTCCAAAAGTGACCGGGAAAAGTGCCTAACGTTGCTTCTGAAACCCTAGAAAAAAAGATCTTTTGCCTGCCTGTGTGATAACCGTCCTGTCGCGTCCTGTTGCTTTGACGTCAGCTGCAACAGCTCGACTCATGGCCACCACTCGAAACGCTGAAACGCCACCTAATTTCGTGCCCAAAACGCTCCAAAAGCGAGCCTAAAAAGTACCTAACGTCCCTTCTAAAACCCTAGAAAAACAATAGTTTTGGACAAGGTTTTATACTTTTCGACCACTTTTTATATCACTGTTTGTACAATAAGACATAGAACCCTCCTGTTGCTGCTGCTGCTCTTCCTCCCGAGGCTGAAAACGCACCCTCGATGACGGGGAAACGCAGTGGCCCTGAAGGACGGAACAGCGCCAAAATCGAGCCCAAAAAGTGCGGAACGTCCCTTCTGAAACAGGGAACCATAGGAAAAAAATATCTTTTGCCTGCCTTTGTGATAACCGTCCTGTCGCGTCCTGTCGCTTGGACGTCAGCTGCAACAGTTCGACTCATGGCCAGCACTCGAAACGCTGAAACGCCACCTAATTTCGTGCCCAAAACGCGCCAAAATCGAGCCCAAAAAGTGCCTAACGTCCCTTCTGAAACCCGAGAAAAACAATATAGTTTTGGACAAAGTTTCATAAAAACAACATAGTTTTGGACAAGGTTTTATATAGTTTTCGACCAATTTTTATACCACTGTTTGTACAATGAGACATAGAACCCCCCTCCTGTTGCTCCTGTTGCTGCTGCTGCTCATGGCCACCACTCGACACGCTGAAACGCCACCTAATTTCGTGCCCAAAACGCTCCAAAATCGAGCCCAAAAAGTGCCTACTAACGTCCCTTCTGAAACCCTAGAAAAAAAAGAACTTTGGCCTGCCTTTGTGATAACCGTCTTGTCGCGTCCTGTCGCTTTCAGTTCGACTCATGGCCACCACTCGAAACGCTGAAACGCCACCTAATTTCGTGCCCAAAACGCGCCAAAATCGAACCCAAAAAGTGCCGAACGTCCCTTCTGAAACCCTAGAAAAAAAGAACTTTTGCCTGCCTTTGTGATAACCGTCTTGTCGCGTCCTGTCGCTTTCAGCTCGACTCATGGCCACCACTCGAAACGCTGAAACGCCACCTAATTTCGTGCCCAAAACGCGCCAAAATCGAGCCCAAAAACTGCCTAACGTCCCTTCTGAAAGCCTAGAAAAACAATATAGTTTTTACCACTGTTTGTGCAATGAGACATAGAACCCTCCTGTTGCTCCTGTTGCTGCTGCTGCTGCTCATGGCCACCACTCGAAACGCTGAAACGCCACCTAATTTCGTGCCCAAAACGCTCCAAAATCGAGCCCAAAAAGTGCCTAACGTCCCTTCTGAAACCATAGAAAAAAAAGAACTTTTGCCTGCCTTTGTGATAACCGTCTTGTCGCGTCCTGTCGCTTTCAGCTCAACTCATGGCCACCACTCGAAACGCTGAAACGCCACCTAATTTCGTGCCCAAAACGCGCCAAAATCGAGCCCAAAAACTGCCTAACGTCCCTTCTGAAACCCTAGAAAAACAATATAGTTTTGGACAAGGTTTTATAGTTTTCGACCAATGTTTATACCACTGTTTGTGCAATGAGACATAGAACCCCCCTCCTGTTGCTCCTGTTGCTGCTGCTGCTCATGGCCACCACTCGAAACGCTGAAACGCCACCTAATTTCGTGCCCAAAACGCGCCAAAATCGAGCCCAAAAAGTGCCTAACGTCCCTTCTGAAACCCTAGAAAAAAAAGAACTTTTGCCTGCCTTTGTGATAACCGTCTTGTCGCGTCCTGTCGCTTTCAGCTCGACTCATGGCCACCACTCGAAACGCTGAAACGCCACCTAATTTCGTGCCCAAAACGCGCCAAAATCGAGCCCAAAAACTGCCTAACGTCCCTTCTGAAAGCCTAGAAAAACAATATAGTTTTGGACAAGGTTTTATAGTTTTCGACCAATGTTTATACCACGTGTCCTGTCGCTTTCAGCTCGACTCATGGCCGCCACTCGAAACGCTGAAACGCCACCTAATTTCGTGCCCAAAACGCGCCAAAATCGAGCCCAAAAACTGCCTAACGTCCCTTCTGAAACCCTAGAAAAACAATATAGTTTTGGACAAGGTTTTATAGTTTTCGACCAATGTTTATACCACTGTTTGTGCAATGAGACATAGAACCCCCCTCCTGTTGCTCCTGTTGCTGCTGCTGCTCATGGCCACCACTCGAAACGCTGAAACGCCACCTAATTTCGTGCCCAAAACGCGCCAAAATCGAACCCAAAAAGTGCCTAACGTCCCTTCTGAAACCCTAGAAAAAAAAGAACCTTTGCCTGCCTTTGTGATAACCGTCTTGTCGCGTCCTGTCGCTTTCAGCTCGACTCATGGCCACCACTCGAAACGCTGAAACGCCACCTAATTTCGTGCCCAAAACGCGCCAAAATCGAGCCCAAAAACTGCCTAACGCCCCTTCTGAAAGCCTAGAAAAACAATATAGTTTTGGACAAGGTTTTATAGTTTTCGACCAATGTTTATACCACTGTTTGTGCAATGAGACATAGAACCCCCCTCCTGTTGCTCCTGTTGCTGCTGCTGCTCATGGCCACCACTCGAAACGCTGAAACGCCACCTAATTTCGTGCCCAAAACGCTCCAAAATCGAGCCCAAAAAGTGCCTAACGTCCCTTCTGAAATCCTAGAAAAAAAAGAACTGCCTTTGTGATGATAACCGTCTTGTCAAACACCTTCTATTTCCTCCTGCTGCTGCTGCTGCTGCTCCTGCTCCTGTGACTCCTTCTGTTCAAAAGGCACCTGCCGGATGGGAAAACACCATGGCAGGAGTAGTAGTAGTAGTAGTAGTAGTAGTAGTAGTAGTAGTAGTAGTAGGAGTAGGAGTAGGAGTAGTAGTAGTAGTAGGAGTAGTAGTAGTAGTAGTAGCAGGGCTCTGAAGGGCGAGCGCGTGCCAGAACCACGCCAAAAAAGTCCCTAACGTGTCGTCTGAAATCCTAGAAAAATCTAGATTTTTTGGTGCGCTGCTGGCTACTGGCCGCTGGCTGCTACTGGCACTGGCTGCTACTGGCACTGGCTGCTAACAGCAAAACACCACCTAATTTCGTGCCCAAAGCGCAACACATGAACCCCAAAAAAAAAAGCGGGCGGGAAGGGCAACCCAAGGAGCCCCACGTACTTCGAGGAGACTCCGGGAAGGACCCCCCACCGGTGAAACAAAAACCCCGGAGTCAAGGAATCGAGGTACGTGACCGGTGGGAGGGGGACCCAAGAGAGTCCCCCGGCAAAGGGTCATGGTTATTGTTGTTCGTTGTTGTTTCTTGTTCTTTGTCGTTGGCTACTGGCTATGCTGCTGGCTACTGGCCGCTGGCTGCTACTGGCGCTGGCTGCTATAGCTACTGGCTATGTGCACCTTTTGCATGCTCTTGCCTAACGTGTCGTCTGACACCCTAGAAAAACACAATTTTTCGATAGATTCTGTTGCTGGCGGCTGCTAGCAGTAAAACAGGTTCGGAAAAATCACCTCCCGGGGGAGAAAACACCAGGGCTCTGAAGGACGAGCGAGTGCCAGAACCACGCCAAAAAAGTCCCTAACGTGTCGTCTGAAATCCTGGAAAAATCTAGATTTTTTGGTACGCTGCTGGCTACTGGCCGCTGGCTGCTACTGGCGCTGGCTGCTAGCTACTGGCTATGTGCACCTTTTGCGTGCTCTTGCCTAACGTGTCGTCTGACACCCTAGAAAAATACAATTTTTCGATAGATTCTGTTGCTGGCGGCTGCTAGCAGTAAAACAGGTTCGCAAAAATCACCTCCCGGGGAGGAAAACACCAGGGCTCTGAAGGACGACGATCTGCTGCTGCAAAACGTGGCTGGGCATCTTCGAACGGCCGACTAGGTTAAAAGATGTCGTGCTTGCATAGCTTCTCTTTTGATGGAAACAGAGGTGCTGTCGCTGAAGAAGGGGACCCTCTCTGACGGCGGATGGATGATACGAACTAAATTACGAGCACGAGGGATGGGGGAGCTATGACACAAGGTTAGGCACCGCATTAATACAATATATGAAAGTAGTGCCAGAACCACGCCACAAAAGTCCCTAACGTGTCGTCTGAAATCCTGGAAAAATCTAGATTTTTTGGTACGCTGCTGACTACTGGCCGCTGGCTGCTACTGGCGCTGGCTGCTAACAGCAAAACACCACCTAATTTCGTGCCCAAAACGTAACACATGAACCCAAAAAAAAAGCGGGCGGGAAGGGCAACCCAAGGAGCCCCACGTACTTCAAGGAGACTCCGGGAAGGACCCCCCACCGGTGAAACAAAAACCCCGGAGTCAAGGAATCGAGGTACGTGACCGGTGGGAAGGGCACCCAAGAGAGTCCCCCGGCAAAGGGTCATGGTTATTGTTGTTCGTTGTTGTTTCTTGTTCTTTGTTGTTCGCTACTGGCTATGCTGCTGGCTACTGGCCGCTGGCTGCTACTGGCGCTGGCTGCTATAGCTACTGGCTATGTGCACCTTTTGCGTGCTCTTGTTGCTGTTGTTGTTGTTGTTGCTGTTGCTGTTGCTGTTGCTGTTGCTGTTGCTGTTGTTGTTCTTGTTGTTGTTGTTGTTGTTGTTGGCTGCTGCTGCGGCTGCTGCTGCTGCGGCTGCTGCTGCTGTTGCTGCTACTGCTGTTGCTCCCACTGCACAAATGCTGTTGCTCTTGCTATTGCTGTTGCTCTTGCTCTTCCTGTTGCTATTGCTGTTGTTGTTGTTCTTGTTGTTGTTGTTGTTGTTGTTGTTGGCTGCTGCTGCGGCTGCTGCTGCTGCGGCTCCTGCTGCTGCGGCTGCTGCTGCTGCTGTTACTGCTACTGCTGTTGCTACCACTGCACAAATGCTTTTACTCTTGCTGTTGCTCTTGCTGTTGCTCTTGCTGTTACTCTTGCTGTTGCTCTTGCTGTTCCTGTTGTTGTTGTTGTTGTTGTTGTTGCCCGACGGGGAAAACATCATGACTCTGACGGACGACATAGGCAGGAAATCTAGCTGTCCTAAGGGACAACATCCTTTTCCCTGGCGCCATCCCCCGTGGCTGGCCGGGGTCGGCGGATTTTTGAAACTTCCGCCACCGCCTTGTGCGGTACTACTGGTATTTAATAAAGTATTAGGGTGCGAAGCTTCCCCCTAATACATCCTATTTTTCTAAAAAAAACTTTTTTCTACTTCAAAATGGATTAATGTCCTCTTTAAAACCTAATTAAAATATTACCAAAAATTGGATTTCGCAGGTTCCCCTAATATCAAATTAAAAACCTTAATAGGAAAACAACAAAATGAATTTGAAAGGACGGACCCTAATAAAAAACACCTCGGTGTTGACTAGTTTTTTAAAGGGGGTGAAACCCTCAAATGGAACCTTCATTTTGAAATTGTTTTTTTAAAGGGGACCAATTAAAAGTCAAATTGTCCAACTTCAAATTTCCCAAATTTTCGAACGGACCTGAGTTTTTAATAGGCGGCGGCGGAAGGGATTAATGAGATGAAGATCTCCCTCAGTAAGATGAGGCCTAAGGTCAATAAGGACCATATGGGACAAGGGAGACCACCACCATCCACCACCCACGTGGTCCTTATCAAACTTTTTACCCTGACCTTGGCGGGGGAAACTGGTTGGATTGGTTGGGCATTTGGATTTTCATCCCAGATAGGGAGTGGGAACGACGATGAATTCTATGGCAACCTGTGGCATCCCATGACCTTTGCCTCGATGACCGTAACTTCTTTTTGGCTCGCTGGCACTGGGGAAATTGAAGATGTCCGGCTGAAAAACCTGCGGAGATTTCATGAGATTTACATAGTCTCACGACTCTGACAGAGCGTTGAGGTTTGCGTTAAACGCCAGTTTTTGCCAAGATGGTGCATTCTAGTGAGCTAAGTCATGGTGACACTTGAAATTTACGGATGTGGACACTTCAGCCAATGACGATGGGGAGTTAGCACGGCCCTGCTCTTTACCTTGTTGTCCATGTTAAGGGGATGGGGTGTCTTGCTTCATTCCCTAAGGACAACCTGTAGCTGTGGTTCGCGACGTGCCTCAGCCTGGGAGGTGGCGAAGGGCTCCTTCTTTAAAGCTTTGTCCAGGGTTGCATTGATGTGGGAGATTCGTTCCACCTATCTCAAATATAGTTTCCCTGGTGAATGCAGCTCGAAAGATGCAAGGGCTTTGATCAACGAATGTGACTGCTACTGCTAATGTAATGATAACTGCATTTAAGCCGCAGGAACCATTTCCTCCTTGTTGGTGACTGACCCGCTGGTTTGGCCCGCTTGGCAGGATCAGCGTTGTACAGAGCCCACAACTATCTCCAGGAAGGGCAGGGCTGGTGAATCCTGGTGAGGTTGGATAAGATTGATGCCACAAAGCAAGCGAGTTGAAACCAAAACTGCTACAGCTAGTGAGGAATCAGAAGGAGACAAAAGCGACAAGAACTTCAAGTTGGACACGAAGATGCGAAAAGAATCCTGCCTTTTTTTTTGTGTGGGCCAGAGACAAGATCATTTGATCTAATTTTTGGTGCTATAATAATATTGCTTCAGACGTGCTTCGCCCGTTTCGACAATAAACAGCTGTTTACTGGATTTGCGCGAGCAGTTCAAGCATCCAAGCAGTAGCGTTGTGGTGGCCATAGTGATTCAACATGATCCAACGAGCCACGACCATAATCAACGCATAGCAAAGAAATCCGGAATTAAAGACCTATGTGTTCCATCAATTCAATTCCATACCAAATGCAAATACCACGTAGAATATCGTACTGTAATATCGAAAGATCTGACATTTCATGATATTTCATGATACTGGTATTTCCATATACAATTGGATAGAGAATTGACATGCATTAGTTATTCAATATGAATCAGATCTCTGTCTACCCCCAGTCGCAGGTCGAGCCGGTACCCTGATGCTTCTGACAGCTGCTGCAGGCTCTCCCAACGACCATCACCAGAGGCTCGGGTGCTGGGTGAAAACCATGAATTGATGATAAGTTATGCAGACATATGTAGAATTATGCCACATGTATCCATGTAAATCCATGTATAATATATGGTAATCGATCTGATCCCAAGGTCCTTGTAAAGAGTTTATATCGCGAAAGTAACATTTTATTCGTGAAGAATTGCCGTTCCCGGACAAAGGAATTTTGATATTTTTGATCAATTCCCATATAATAATAGTTATATAGTATACTATAATTAATCATACTTATAATCATCCCGTTAAATATGCATCCTCTAGACGTGCTTTGGATCCACTACCACAATATCATGTGTATTCTTCACGCACACAAATATATCTATCTATATATGCATGAATGTATATCTATTTATAATCTATCTATATCTATTTATAATTATATATATATATATGTATATAATTGCATATATAAATATATATATAACATAAATAAGTATACAATTATAAAGAAAATATAGCAAAACCCGCTTTATGCTTCGTTGTGCCATCATGCTGGTGTTGAGGACGATCGATTTTCCTTTGGTGAGCGGCAGATCCCAAAGAGGTCCAGACACGAAGCAGCTGAGTGAGTTAGCTGCGGATATGAGTTTGCTTTAAAGTTTGAGGCCACCCTAGACTTTGACCATTTTAGTCTTAAGCAGCGATCCTGAAACATGCAGTTTGGATGGAGCGTACCGGATATTGACCCAGAGCCATCTGAGGGAAATCATTCATGGCACAATAATTATACTCAATACTGCACCATAGATTTCACCGAGTCAGGCAGCGGTTGCCAAGTGATTCTTCTGTCAGAAAGCTTCTCGGCTTTCAAAGAGATGCCCACACGACAGCTGCAGCTGTTGCAGCGTAGCGAATCCGAAATGGGCGAACTGGCCAACTTGATCGATATACTGTCCATTCTTTTTTATTTGGGAAAGATTTTTGGGAAAGATTGGGGTAATCTCAGATTTTCATGGCAAGAGTATGCAAGATATGCAAGAGTAGTATATGACAGTATGGAGTATGTATATTATCCCGTCAGATGGCTCCAGTTTTGTGAACTGGTTTATAGATGTTTATAGGATTTGCATGGATTTGCATGTCACCTCAACCTGTCATGATCAAAATTTGATACGTTTGATGGTCAGGCGGTCAGGAGATGTCAGGAGTCCGCCCTGTTTTTAGGTCATCTCGAGGCCTGAGTTTGGCGAACCAGGCGGAGCTGCCTGGGCCTGGGAATGCCTGGGATGACCAGTGACTCCATTTGACTCATGTTCAAAAGCTTCGATCTTCAGCGTATTTTGACATATTTCCACTTTTTGTCACATTTTTTCACATAGGCGAGCGAATCAACATTCAAATTATTGTTTTTTTTAAAAATATTGGAAAAGTTGGCATAGCAAACACGTGACGCAGAATGGAGAGGACACAAGGGGTTGAGGTTGAGTCCAGCCATGTCATCCGTGCACTGCGCGCTGCGCTCCAGGGGCACTTCGAGGATGGATTGACAGGACAAAGCAGGCGTGGTCATCCAGTCACCTTTGCTTACTGGGCTTGCGAGATCTTGCGAGCTCTCCTCCAGATATGAGTTTGCTTTAAAGTTTGAGGCCACCCTAGACTTTGACCATTTTAGTCTTAAGCAGCGATCCTGAAACATGCAGCTTGAATGGAGCGTACCGGATTTTGACCTAGAGCCATCTGAGGGAAATCATTCATGGCACAATAATTATACTCAATACTGCACCATAGATTGCACTGAGTCAGGCAGCGTTTGCCAAGTGATTCTTCTGTCAGAAAGCTTCTCGGCTTTCAAAGCGATGCCGACACGACAGCTGCAGCTGTGTGCGAATCCGAAATGGGCGAACTGGCCAACTTGATCGATATGACTGTCCATTCTTATTTGGGAAAGATTTTTGGGAAAGATTGGGGTAATCTCAGATTTTCATGGCAAGAGTATGCAAGATATGCAAGAGTAGTATATGACAGTATGGAGTATGTATATTATCCCGTCAGATGGCTCCAGTTTTGTGAACTGGTTTATAGATGTTTATAGGATTTGCATGGATTTGCATGTCACCTCAACCTGTCATGATCAAAATTTGATACGTTTGATGGTCAGGCGGTCAGGAGATGTCAGGAGTCCGCCCTGTTTTTAGGTCATCTCGAGGCCTGAGTTTGGCGAACCAGGCGGAGCTGCCTGGGCCTGGGAATGCCTGGGATGACCAGTGACTCCATTTGACTCATGTTCAAAAGCTTCGATCTTCAGCGTATTTTGACATATTTCCACTTTTTGTCACATTTTTTCACATAGGCGAGAGAATCAACATTCAAATTATTGGTTTTTTTAAAAAAAATTGGAAAAATTGGCATGGCAAACACGTGACACAGAATGGAGAGGACACAAGGGGTTGAGGTTGAGTCCAGCCATGTCATCCGTGCACTGCGCGCTGCGCTCCAGGGGCACTTCGAGGATGGATTGACAGGACACAGCAGGCGTGGTCATCCTGTCACCTTCGCTTACTGGGCTTGCGAGATCTTGCGAGCTCTCCTCCAGATATGAGTTTGCTTTAAAGTTTGAGGCCACCCTAGACTTTGACCATTTTAGTCTTAAGCAGCGATCCTGAAACATGCAGTTTGAATGGAGCGTACCGGATTTTGACCTAGAGCCATCTGAGGGAAATCATTCATGGCACAATAATTATACTCAATACTGAACCATAGATTGCACCGAGTCAGGCAGCGTTTGCCAAGTGATTCTTCTGTCAGAAAGCTTCTCGGCTTTCAAAGAGATGCCGACACGACAGCTGCAGCTGTTGTAGCGTAGCGAATCCGAAATGGGCGAACTGGCCAACTTGATCGATATGACTGTCCATTCTTATTTGGGAAAGATTTTTGGGGAAGATTGGGGTAATCTCAGATTTTCATGGCAAGAGTATGCAAGATATGCAAGAGTAGTATATGACAGTATGGAGTATGTATATTATCCCGTCAGATGGCTCCAGTTTTGTGAACTGGTTTATAGATGTTTATAGGATTTGCATGGATTTGCATGTCACCTCAACCTGTCATGATCAAAATTTGATACGTTTGATGGTCAGGCGGTCAGGAGATGTCAGGAGTCCGCCCTGTTTTTAGGTCATCTCGAGGCCTGAGTTTGGCGAACCAGGCGGAGCTGCCTGGGCCTGGGAATGCCTGGGATGACCAGTGACTCCATTTGACTCATGTTCAAAAGCTTCGATCTTCAGCGTATTTTGACATATTTCCACTTTTTGTCACATTTTTTCACATAGGCGAGCGAATCAACATTCAAATTATTGGTTTTAAAAAAAACTATTGGAAAAATTGGCATGGCAAACACGTGACACAGAATGGAGAGGACACAAGGGGTTGAGGTTGAGTCCAGCCATGTCATCCGTGCACTGCACGCTGCGCTCCAGGGGCACTTCGAGGATGGATTGACAGGACACAGCAGGCGTGGTCATCCTGTCACCTTCGGTTCGGGCGATCTGGGGTTGTTTATGATTTGTTGTCAGTTCGTTGAAACTGAAATATTGCCATTGGGTAGCATTGGTTACTGTAGCATACCACTTCAAAAGCTATCTAGCTGACTCCCACCTTTTGTGCCTAATTACTATTCATATCATTTAGCTTGAGGAAGATGCGAGTCAGGGAGCGATCTCCGCCTATCGGTCGGGGCCGGGTGAGGCAGTTGACAAGGCCAGACATGGTCAGAGATGAAGCACGGATGGAAGCTCACTGTGAAGGCACAGCTGCAGCACGGACATGTTGGTGAGGCCATGAGAGCACCATGTGGAAATGGATATGGCATGATATGGCTATAGCATGCTATAGCGGCTATATGCGGCTATGGGCCCGGTCCGGGTCAAGATTCAGGGACCTGGGAACGACACCACGCTAGGGATAACTAGAACCCCCCTGGACGCCATATTGCATCCGGTGTATTGCAAAGAGATGCAAGCTCTTGTGCCATGCCCCAAAAGTAATGACAGCTCAAAGCGCCGCACTGCTTGCATGACAATGTCTTTCGGAGTCACTTAGTGGAAAACCGGATCAAGCAGGCACTAGTCCTAGATATCTCTGAATCTCGATTGACTCTATTTGCACTTTCTTGAGCTCCGACTTTCAGAGAACTCATATGCTGGCACACACACACACACGCATATATATATAATTATATATATAATTATATATATATATATAATTATATATATAATTATATATATATTATATTATATTATATTATATTATGTTATATTATATTATATTATATTATATTATATTATATTATATATTATATATAATTATATATATTATATATATTATATGTATATATTATATATATTATATATATCATATGTATATTATATATATATTATGTATATATATATTATATATATATAATATATTATATATAATTATATATATATATATTATATATTATATGTATATTATATATATTATATGTATATATATTATATATATATATTATCATATGGTATCATCACTGTTTTCCAGGCATTGTCCATGGCCGTTGTCCTACCAGGGGAGGTTGCCCCGGCCAGCCTCAAAGGTGTCCAAAGAGTGGAGTGTGCACAGCAATGGCAGGAGGTGGGCCGGTATTTACTATTTTTACTATATCTGGGTCGTTATCCCCCCAAAAAAAAGAGGGCGGCACCCCGTAGGGGAGTAAATTTTCATGACACATGATGATAAAACACTGTAAATACCGATGTTTTACGCACTTAGAGGGTCTAAAACCCTAGTAAAGCGCACTTTTTTCATCATGATCTTGACATGAGATATACAAAAACATTGGCAGGCACCAAAAAAAACAAACTACTAGATGCACCAAACATCGACAGGCACCCAAAAAAAATGCAGCAACTACTAACAAGGACCATAGTTCCTGGATTTTTTTGTTTTTTTTTGGTGCCTGTGCAGGTTTGGTGACTCTGACTTCACAAAACATTGGCAGGCACCAAAAAAACAAAAAAAAGAAAAAAACCGGACTAGATGCACCAAACATCGACAGGCACCAAAAAAAACCAAAAACATCCAGCAACTACTCAGAGGTGGACCCATAGTTCCTGGATTTTTTTTTTTTTTGGTGCCTGTGCAGGTTTGGTGACTCTGACTGCACAAAACATTGACAGGCACCAAAAAAAACAAAAAAACAACAACCACTAGATGCACCAAACATCGACAGGCACCAACAAAAAAAAAAATCCAGCAACTACTCAGAAGTGGATCATAGTTCCTCGAAATTTTAGTGTTGTTTTTTGGTGCCTGTGCAGGTTTGGTGCATTTCGTGGTTTGTTTCTTTTTTTTCTCCTGTGCCTGTGCAGGTTTGGTGACTCTGACTTCACAAAACATTGACAAGCAGCAAAAACAACCAAGAAACACAGCTAACATTTCATCAAACCTTCTATCACTGTTACTTCATCTATTGCTAAAATCGCCTTGATACATTTCAATTGCAGCTGCCCCTTGATCATACATGTTTGGGTGTCAAAAGCCAGTTCAATAATGAGTGCAGCATCATATGTAAATAGTTTTTTGATAGTTATGTTTGGCAATAATGACTGCAACTGCCCATTGGGTGCAGGCTAGATTGTGTATGTTTGGATCTTGGGCATATTTTAAACTGATGTTTCAAAGAAACAAACGTACCATTATCTTTGAATAGCTATGCCACCACACAGGTTGCCTGATCTTAATAGTCAACAGCATGACGCACTTCTCTGTCTTTATGGCTTTCTTTGTTTCTGGCTTTCTTTCTTTCTTTCTTTCTTTCTTTCTCTCTCTCTCTCTCTCTAAGTATTGAAATGAGACTGCTGACAAGACTCTGCAAGGTAACAATGATACACAAGATATGTATCTACTTCTTGAATTGTAAATTTTCCACCATCCTTCTTATCCAGAGTGTTAGATGTGCGTGTGTATATCCACCTACATAATGTATGCCCTTCCCACCATACTTCTTATATAGCGCAAATGCTTCTATATACAATGTATGTTGAGATGATATCAATCTAACAAGTTCATGAAGAAACAGCTATATCATATCAATTGCTTCTAGCAATAGAATTTCTCCATCACCTCTATCACACTAGCCACCTATTGCTACTGTATATTCTGTTCCAAGATGTGCAGCGACCCATTCTTATGCAGATGTTTTCTGTTATGTGCTGATTGTTTGTAGTTCTTTGCAAGCCTCACAGGAAAAATTGAATCCTATCACAAGAGTCTGTAGATGCCAGTGATTTATGACAGCATATGATAGCCTTTGGAGGTGAAAAGCCTACTTTTGTCACAAAACAAAACACCGTAAACACCAGTATTTTTGACCGTTTTTAGAGCAAAAATCACTCCCCCATGAGGGGCCGTTCTAAAAAAAAAACGCCCATGGTTTGTATCACCCCCCCGGCGCCCGCATTGTGCAGGTCCAAGCCATCGCGCAGAACGCGGAAACGCTGCGCCTGTTGGCCCGGAAGCGGCGAAAGCTGATGCGAAAGCTGGAAGAACGAGAGACGCTTAGCGGTCATTGATGGTGATGGCAATGGTGATATGGTGATGGCAATGGTGATATGGTGATGGTAATGGTGATATGGTGATGGTAATGGTGATGGTAATGGATTGATTGTATACCTTTCTCTACTAATTTTCTGGTAAGTTTATGGACGGGATGGATGATGGTATGCCATTCCATGATTTTGTCATGGATATACACATCTATAGTCCATGTCACTGTTCACTCAGGCAGCACTTGGAGCAAAACCTCGGCATTCTGTCGCATGTGTACCTACGCCAAGCGGATGTGGATTTGCAGCAGCTGGGTAGCACTAGAGGCTTCCTGCAGCCACAGGGGTAAGTTTTGGGCAAAGAACCAACAAATTGGCGCCACATGCACCGTTGAAAGCCTGCACTTTCAAGCTTTGGCTTGGAGAGCGCTGGGAAAGCGCCAAAACTGCCATTATCCTTGCATACTATTGCTCTAGTCTAGCTGAGAGCAAGAAGTTTTGTGCACGATGACTTACAAAAAAACATATCAAAGAAATGAATACTATGCTGATCATAGACCAGCAGAGACCCCTCAAGTTTTCATTGTAAGATTCGCATCCGGCAGTCCCCTGAGCCCCTCCCAGCACAGGCTGCATCAAGTGATGGAGGACTTGCGCAAGGCTTTCGCGGCGCAGCGGGAGGCAACGAGCCAAGAGGCGGTTGGAGTAGAAGTGGGTTGAGAATGGTTCAGAAGAATTGCATTGCTTTTGCTTGTTGCTACATGTTGCTACTACTTGTTGCTACTTGTTCTGCTTCTTGGGGTGCTTTTCAGCATGATGCAACAGCATGTGCTTATACGGTTTTGCAGTTTTGCATTTTGTTTGGAGGGGCTGTCTCCAACAACTGGGCTCATTCGCAGATGAATCTCAAAGTTTTGCTCTTCTGCCCGGGTAGCTGCAAAAATGGTGCACCCGATCATAACTGGCATTGCCACTGGCATTGGTCTGCTCACAGACAAGTACATGCTGGGAGCCACAAACTTCGTTGAGCATTATGCGGTGGAATTCCATGCCACAGATGCTCAGAAAGATTTTGTGAAGGCAGCCATGTATGGTGGTGCAATTCTGGGGATGATTGTCATGGGACCACTTTCCGACATCATTGGCAGGCCCGGGCATGCCAGAACTTGCGACATGACCACTGTGCATGACATTCAAATCAAGGAAGGCCGTGAATCGTCAGGAAACATGACACATAATATACTTTTCTGCAGTAGGGAGCCTGTTGGGATCTGTTTGGGACGGAGACACTACAGAACCGAAGAATATGTACTGTAGGTATGCTCGTTGACATCAGATCTTGTCCCGTTCTTGGCCAGTTGTAGCACCGCGTGGCTGCTCGAGGCGCTCAGGGTTGATCCTTTGCTCCATCATTACCTTGCTGGGTGCCTTGCTGAGCACATTTGCCTGGCGCGAAAATACGTTGATCGTGGCCCGGATCATAACGGGCATCGGCATGGGTGGAGAATATCCCTTGGCCTCCTCACACAGCGCTGAGTCTTCCGAATCAGGCGCTGACTGATGGCTGGGCAAGAGATTGGATGTTGGGTGGAGACGAAGAGGGTCGCCTTTCTGCTGGTATTTGGGATTTGGATTTGAGATGATTTGGGAGAAAGGAGCTGTTTCATAGCTACTGGAAGTACATGGAAGTACGGGGTTCTCTTTTTGCATTGGCTTCCAAAATAAGTCTTGGGAGGTGCCTCAACTTCAGATCAGAGTGGACCCAAAGAGGTAGGGTTGCACTTTTTGCAATCATCATTGTTTGTGGACTCGCAAGTGGTATGCAAGTGGTGCTGTGCCAGGTGACGGAGCGCGAAATGTGGCACTTCTTTATCTCTTTGGATCAGGTGGTGGGCAGGCGCTGTGCCCGCTAGTGACTTACTTGATGGATGTGGGAGGTGTTCCTGGAAACTTGCTTTGGCGATGGAGTCTTGGCATCGGCATCGACCATGTCCACAAGGATTTATCCACAGGGCATCACAGGGCACCCCCAAATCCCATGGCTTTCATTTCCTCCAATGAAACTACCATATCTGGGCAAACCCAAATGCCAAAGCTTTTCTGTTTTCTGCTCGAATTTCCTAAGGTCCTTGGCTTTGTGAGGAGATTTGTTATTTAATCCTGGAGGGCTAGATCGAGACATATGAGTAACTACATTGATGAGCCGTGTATAGATACACTCAATTTCAGTATATTGACTCAGGGGATTCGTTTTGGCATATTTGTCCTCAGCAAGGGTCATTTGTTTGCTGCAACCTGAGGATCTTCGGGGTTGGATCTATTTTGTCAGGGTTTGGTCTCATCTTGCGGATACTTACGACTCAAGATAGCGAGAAGTTCAAGGAGGGCAAAGCAGCAGAGAAGGCCCACAAGGCAAGGTCAAAGGGTTTCCGAATTCATATCGCTGGCCGGTGCAGCAGTACATAGGCAGATTGTTAAGATTTGGTGGGCCCGGTCATATCAGCTTCCCCATTAAAGGGCTCTTTATGGCTCTTGGCCCGCTAGGAGAACACGTGTTCTTTGCTTGCACCATACTGGCGGCCATTGCTGGGCACAGCTGGCTGTTGGTTCCTCTATGATATTGTCGAGTATGGCTTGAAGCAGAATGACGCGGCCATCTTCAGTTCAGGAAACGATGCACCCTATTCTCAAAGTGTCATGGATGTATTCCTCACTCGCCTTCTCGTGATTCCTTCTTTGATTTTGGCCCCATGGCTACTGACCAAGACTTCAAGCACCTTGGTGCCAGCTGCTGCCAGCTTTAACACTTTAAGCCTTTAAGCCCAGGGGAAATTGTTGCTGCAGTCTGTTGTGACATTTGCACTCGATCATACTGGATGATCTATAGATATCTATAGTGTACATAGTTGCAGGAATCTGACTTGATTAATTTTTCTGAACCGTTTTACTGGCTCCTCAGGTAAGCGCGTTCAATTCATTGGTTTTTTGGGCTGCGGTCTTGCGAATTTCATCCTGGCGACGGCCTACCAACCTTTGAAGGATATCAGCTTGTTGTTCTTCACTCTCTACATCTTGCAGCTTTCCTTCCAGAGCCTTCCAGGTGTTACAACCATGGCCATCTCTGCTGAAATCTACCCCAGCATGGTCAGAGGGACGGGAGCAGGAATCAGTGCTGCTCTTGGCAAAGTCGGCGCAACCGTTGGTACCCTGGAGAACAAGTTCGTGACTCCACAACGATTTTGTTCTTGGTGAATTTCATTCAAATAAATCTAATGATTATCTACCCTGACAGTTCAGTGCTTGACCGAGATGTAAAATGTAGAAACTACAAGAGGCTTTATTGATCTTTTCTTGGGCATTCCCATGTCTTGATTTTGGTGAGAAATAAGATTGTAAACAATTCGGGAGTTTGATCTTGGGTTTTACAAATTTGGACTAGCAGGCTCCTATTTCTTTTCGGAGTTGAAGAACCAGGGCGACATCTCTATGATTTTTTGGTCCGTCACGGTGACATCCGTTGGGGCCATGATCATAACCCTGGTCGCCATCCCTTACTACAATGGACACACCATCGACGCGGCAGACACCTTGGCAAGAGACGGTAAGCCTACCGAAGCGGTGAAAGTCCTGTTTTCAGGGCCCTTGAACTATGATGGAACCAAATCTACGGGATATGAACCTGATGATTGGCTGTCAGATGAGGAGAGTCAACCTGAATAAGGTGCTCGAGTCACATTGGTTTTGAAGATTTCCCAAGGCATTCTTGCAAATGTGAGATGCGAAAAGATACGTTGCTGCTGAGTCCATGCGTGTATACAAGCATAGCATAGCATGACCCTCTGGGGTTTGAGGTGGTGTGGCTGCTGGCAGCTTTGCACAAAAAAAGTGGCACTATATCGCAAATAGAAATATGACACATTATAATTTGTACGGATCTACCTGACATTCACACACACACACATGTCTATAGACTTGGGCAATTGGCCCCTACTTTCTTGCGTTTTGAGCGATTCTTACAGGTACTGACCAGCCATCCCCCTGCATGAGGCGCACTCACATCACCGCCATAGTGCTGTGACTTGCACTTGGGCAGCAACGGGCAGCAACGGGCAGCATAGGTTGAGGCAGTGCCATGGTCAGATGGAATATGAAATCCGACCGCCCGACCCGACAATCATTGAACAGATGATACACGATGATATATCATACTGTACTTCATGTTGTCATCGAAACTTTGGGAAGGTCATGGTGTTGTTATGTGTTTTTTGGACCTTTTTGGACCTTGTTGGTATGGCTCTTTGTAATATCCTTTTACACTTGATGAACGCGGGTTGAATTTAGCAGTGCTCCTGAAGGTGAGAGTGTCGACTTGGTCCTACCAATACGTCAAATGTATTCAATTGTCATATTCATATACATATATACTGTACTATATATATAATTTATATAATACTATATACTAGTATAGTCATGAGTCATATATCACATGATGTAACAATTTCTTAAATTGACTATCGGCCGAGTTTCGAACTTCAGCAACCCTGAACAGTTCCCCCCGGTGAGCCAGTCTCATTGCATTCAGCAACACATCACTTGCAAGGCCCAGTTCGATGATGTGCTCAAAAGAATTGCATGAGTTTATGCCAGTGATGGTGGCAGGCCAGCAGAGCTTCAGACAAGGTGAGTTTGGGGGCCTACAACCTAAAATGGGTCACCTGAAAACGATCCAAGTCATTGGTCATTAATGAGGACACCCATGGTTTGGGGCAGCCCTCTGGTTTGAAGCACTGCTCACTTTGGGCGTGAAGAACATGTCCAGCCGCACGTAGGAAACTTAGGTCATCTAAGAGCTGTCATGATCCCGGTCTTTGAAAGGCATTGCCATCAGCATCCATCAGCCATTCAGTGCAGTAGGCCGGCGGTCTGACTTGCCAGGGTTAACTTCTCAAAGCTAGTTGTTACCCCTCGCATCCTGATCATCCTGTCCCTCACGCGAATTTCAAACGAATTCCGCATAGCAAGCAGTGGTAGCCCATGAATTCGATGAACCAATTCAAGGCGGTTTCGAGCATCAGTCGTAGCACATTTTTCCTGTTTCCTTTCCACACCTTGTGGACAAACTCTCAAGGAGGTGCAGAAATCCTGGAGCCCTGAATCTTGGGAGACCAAGTTGAACCTGTTAGGGTAGTGACTTCCAGACTTCAGATTGGATATTGGATCTTGGTGCATGGCATTATTCATGGGATATATCATTAGCAGATATTGACAGCTTCTGATTTCTTTCGGACTCTGGCCCCAGGCATTCCCAGGCTAACTGCAAGTTGCATGCCCCATTGCTAGAGTTGAGAACGGTTGCACACGTACTTCCACGCGGTTTGCAGAGCAGTTTCAGATAATGAATCTGACCCAATGACGCAGAACGCGACGAAAGGAAAGCGGCAATTCGCAGCGATTGCCAATTCTCAGCGGTTGCCTGCTGCAAGAATGTTTGCAAGTGGTCACATGTCCGCACGTACAAGTATGATCAAATATGATCAAATATGATCAAATATGAATGTTCAAATATGTGCATATACATACGGTATACGTTGTATAAACATAAGTATACAGTATACTGCACATACACACAAATATACATGCAACATGCACATAAACCACCGTAAACCAAACTGAAGTGCTATTTGCCTGTATTTTGGCATTGACTGTGGCCGAATGGTCCTGGTGAGAACCCCACAACGTGCTTGGCTCAAGTTGCGTCACGTCACGTTGGGCCCAGCTGCAGGCTGGAACTGGACTCAGAAAAATATTTCTGGATACAATAATGGTTGTGAAAGATCGTGAACGATATCCCTGTCCTTTGGCAATTGGATCCGGAATCTCAGAGCCAACAGGCTGCAACATGTCGGCATGTTTGCAGTGCAATGTTCTTATCAGGATTGCATTCAGAATGCCCGTGAATTTCCTTGGTTTGTGTGCTGAGACGACTCCATTTATTCCGAATGCCTCAAACACCTGTGGGATCTTGTGGGTGTGTCTGTTTCTTGCCTTCATTTTTCCCGCAGGTCCAGTGCTCCAAAAATGGCTGGTTCGGGAGCCTAGACGTTGCAACAAGCTGCAGCACATTGCAGCACTGCAGCCTCTGACGATGGTTTCAGGTGAAGAGGCGGAGGCACCGGTTCAGGACGCCATTGCGCCATGTGCCGAGCCATCTGCTGTCAGCAGCAATTAATCCCACCCCCTTGATGTAAGTAATGCCCACCTAGACCCCGTGGTTTAGTAGTGGATTTGTCCATACATGAATACCACGGGGTCCATACCACGGGGTCCATATGGTGGGAACTTTTTTTTTAGAGGGATGGGATGGGACTAGTGACATTAGTGTGATGATTGCGAGGACTCCCAAGTATGTTCCTTTGACATCCTATCAGATACTGTCACCTCAGCACAGGGCATATATCATTTAGTAGCCCTAAGAGTTTGTAGGACACAAGACACGCCAGGAGACTAAAGAGCCTGCAGAGGGAGAGGCAGCGAATGAGGAGAGCAAAGAAACCACGGGTTGTGAAACAAGCATCGCTTGGTCAAACATTGTCAAACTGATGCTCAGTAATTCTGATTCATGCTTCAACGAAGCATTGATAATTGATTGCGAATGATACACCTTCCCTGCTACGAGCCTCCCAGGACTCCAAGACAAGCCCCGGAGGCCTCAATCTGAAGTCGTTTTTGCAAGGGGGCTTGATGAAGTGTGAATTGGTGGGCTACACCAGGCTGCACTCCTTTGGACATGCTCTGTCATGCTGATCTATGCTGATGATGCCAGTTTGCTAGAACTGGGAAGCAGCGCATGCGGCAAATGTTGTTTCTTGCGCTGTCGTTTTTGCTTTGGTACAAGTTTCCATGCGTGACAATGTTTTCTACATGTTTCTACCTGATTCTCTCAGCCCCCAGCCAGGTCGAAAGAAGATCATGTGGGGCCAAGTCTTCCTTGGTCAGGTGTAGTGGACAGTGACGGTGTATGGATCAATCTCAGGTCAAACTTGAGCCACAGTAGGTTGCAACAACAGAAAACAGGATCAGTAAAAACATTTCGAGGTCGTGTCTTTGCAAGAGGTTTTGCTTTTGTATGGTAACCTGCTGACATCTTCACATCACCCTTTCACATCTCTGTGTCTTCTGGAGGTTGTCGATTGGAAGGTGGCCGCCGCAACTGTTCTCTTGCACTGTCGCCACAGAGATGCCAAAGGTTAGTCATGTTAGTCGGTTAGTGGATATCTAAGATGATATCTATGAATATCTATGATTTTGAAGTGAGCATCGGGTTGTCATGGTGTATTCCTCTTGAAGTAGTGCTTGATTCCACCCTATGGCCGGTGCTATCCACATTTTGTGCTTGGAAGAATGCGCGGATGACATCACTGCTATTGATAGCTGCTATTGGCAATTCCGTTGCCAGCATCTCTCATCATTCATAGTATTCTATGGTGCCTGTAGCATGTTATAACATGTTGTAACGTTTTTTTCGTCCACTAAAGCTGCTCCGACCCCTGGCGATCTCAGGGAAAATATGGCTGGATCCTACCAGCTGAGATGATTCGCCATGCCAAGGCCCAGGGCTGGTGTTATGTTTTGGCCGTGCTAAAGCATCCAAAGCTTCCCTGTTTCATGGGATGCAGTGGATGCAGGAAGACTCAGTAAAGCATTGGCTCAGGACTGTATTAGATTCTATGATGAATGTCGTATGCTCATGCATTTCCTCATTTCTTCGTGAAAGACGTGAGTTGTTTCAAATTATGGATCTGCACTGCATTACTCTCGATTTGTGAAAGGCCAGCATGCGCCAGGGCCGAATCTTTGTCAGACCATGCCTCAGCAGATCTCGGGGGAATTGAAATCTGACTGATTTCACAACCGCCACTCCATAGCCAGCACCTTTGCACAATCGAGTGGCTTCAACAACAGAGGCAGAACGGATCTGGTGGCGGCCTAAGCGCAGAGTGATTAGCCTTGTTGCTAAGACCCAGTTTGTAATGGACAAGACTTGCATTCAAGGCGATGCGAAACCAGTTGGATCCTTCCGCTACCAGTCAATTCGCTTGCCATTCCGGCTTCAAAGGGAGGCTTTTTTCATCCAGCTGGATAGCATCAAGCTAGACCTGCAGCTCTTCACACAACTTGAGCATAATTTACACATTGCATTATAACAATTATAACAATATATACTACTGTATAATACTGGATAATGGTGTATAATATATATATATAGATATGTTGAGAATTGTTTATATATATATATATATACATAAACATATTATATATGTAATATTATGTGCATATATAGAATGACATTATATAATACATTCAATGTATATACAACATATTGTGTCCGAATACTTGTAATATTGTTTGGGTCTCTTCTTTGATTGGTCGAAGTGAGTAATTCCTTAGGATATTTCTTTACTGAATGACTTCTTGGATCTTTTCTGGCTATTCCCCAGTGCCCAGCACTACATGCAGCTACGCAGGAAGCAGTCATTGCCAGTGCGGTATGGCTCTGTCCAGACACGGTGGATAAATGATGATAAATGTATATACTGTTCCCAAATCCATTCATGAACCATCATGATCATGATGCAAACTTTTGGGGACGGCCCCATTTTCAGACACATTGGCACTTCCCCGTTTAGACGCGGATTGCGTCCTGTATGGCGGCATGGGAGTTCAGCGACTGCTGGGAAGCTTAGTGAGTGATTAGACATCTCTCATCATGGTCACCATGTCACCATGATGATCATGATGATAGTGATCATTATAATTATGTATATATATATAATATCCATGTATAATGTCAATAGTAATAACGGTGACAATAATCATCAGGATCATTACTTGCATCACCTTAGTCGGCACAGTCTGAATGAGCTAACTCTTTGCGAGGCTTGCGCAGGATTTGCACCATGTCTCTTGGAAGCATAGTACAATACATAAATGGGGTGCAGGTACCCAAGAATCAGATAATTCATACATTGTTCATGCTAAAATAATATGGTTTACAATACTTACAATTGGGAATTGGGATAAATTATTGATAAATTTGGATCTTCAGCAGCCCGGCTATGGGATGCTATGGGGCAAAACCAAGGCCTGGCCTAGCAAAAATTCAACCGGCCTCGTCAAGACACCTACGGCTTTCAAGATGCAAGAAATTGCCCGAGTCTTATGCTGCTGAAACAAAGGGCTGTGCCACTGCCAATTGGAACATCACCAAAGCAGCAGCAGATGGATATGATATGGATTGATATGATGGTAATATAAAATGCATACTAATTATAATGCTACCCCCCCCCCAAGACCTACATTTTTTGTATTAGGTATGTCCTTGGCTGCCTTGTCTTTCTTCTCATCTTCTCACCTATTGCAACACTGCATCAGGAAAGTAGCTTGTGCGCATGCACCTGGACACATCTCGCCCACATATGTAGCTGTAGCATAGCACATGTGAAGAAACTGACCACGTAGGTGCATGAACACTGAGAGCACCTGGGTGGGTGGGAAAGGACAAGCAATACACTAGACATTTTGTGTACCAGATATGTCCTTGTCTGCCTTGTCTTTCTTCTCATCTTCTCACCTATCGCAACACTGCATCAGGAAAGTAGCTTATGCGCATGCACCTGGACACATCTCGCCCACATATGTAGCTGTAGCATAGCACATGTGAAGAAACTGACCACGTAGGTGCATGAACACTGAGAGCACCTGGGTGGGTGGGAAAGGACAAACAAGACACGAGACATTTTGTGTACCAGATATGTCCTTGACTGCCTTGTCTTTCTCCTTATCTTCTCACCTATTGTAACACTGCATCAGGAAAGTAGCTTGTACGCATGCACCTGGACACATCTTGCCCACATATGTAGCTGTAGCATAGCACATGTGAAGAAACTGACCACGTAGGTGCATGAACACTGAGAGCACCTGGGTGGGTGGGAAAGGACAAACAAGACACGAGACATTTTGTGTACCAGATATGTCCTTGACTGCCTTGTCTTTCTCCTTATCTTCTCACCTATTGTAACACTGCATCAGGAAAGTAGCTTGTACGCATGCACCTGGACACATCTTGCCCACATATGTAGCTGTAGCATAGCACATGTGAAGAAACTGAGCACGTAGGTGCATGAACACTGAGAGCACCTGGGTGGGTGGGAAAGGACAGAGAATGTATTGCTTTGGATGCATGAGCCCATGTGTAGCATTATCATAGCGCATAACTCAATTGGACCGAGGAACAACGAGACACCAATCGAGACATATTCCATGAAGAAGACCTGGCAGAAATTGAATCAAAAAGAAGCTTTCGGCACGATTGTGAACACGGAAGACCCGAAGCAATATATTGCAATGCATTTTTCCCCAAAGCTCTACGG